ACAGATTTGAAAAGGACTTTAAAAAGCAAGAAATGAAAGTGTTCCGTGTAAAATACACATGTGACATGTGTATCTTAAGCACCTTAAAACAGAAATAAATAAATGAAAAAGAGTGTCAGCAAATCTTAAAGGAAACAACGATAATTGTCCTGGAAGAATTTTCAAATGTCACCTTAAGACCAAAGCAGAAACCTGGAAGGCGGCAGAGCTACAGCGACAGATGAATGCAGCAAAACTGTTTTATCTGGTTCCTGCTCTGTTCTGTTCCCTTGGCAACTCCAGATACTTTGGCTTCCCTTTTTCTGTTGATGGACGTACAGCAACTCTGCAAGAAACCTACAGAGATGCTGTCAGAGGTCACACCCTGTATTGGCTAGCTTTTTTTTTTTTTTTTTTTTTTTGGCAACTTGACACAGGCTAGAATCATCAGACAGGAAGAAGCCTCAGTTGAAGAAATGCCTCCACGAGATCCAGCTGTAAGGCATTTTCTCATTTAGTGATCAATGGGGGTAGGGCCCAGCCCATTGTGGGTGGTGCCATCCCTGGGCTACTGGTCCTGGGTTCTATAAGCAAGCAAGCTGAGCAATTCATAAGGAGCAAGCCTGTAAGCAGCTTGCCCCCCCCCCCCATGGCCTCTGCATCAGCTCCTGCCTTCAGGTTCTTGCTCTGTTTGAGTTCCTGTCGTGACTTCCTTCAGTAATGAACAGCAATGTGGAAGTGTAAGCCAAATAAACCCTTTCCTCCCCAACTTGCTTTTTAGTCATGGTGTTTCATTGCAGCAATAGAAACCCTAAGACACCCCCTCCTCAACAACAGCATCTGCTGTGCCAACTCAGAGTCCCTGAGCAAAAGGAATGAAACAAAGCCACCAAAAAATCATTACGGAAAATCTCAGTCAACTCCTGAACAGTTATTTGACAAGGAATTTGACTGTTTGTTTGTGTGTTTGCTTTGATTTTAAAGAGGTTCTTTCTTTTTTTTTTTTTTTTTTCCTTTTCTGAAGACGGTGTATATGCTTGATCAGACATGAGAAGAATTTTCTTCTGTGACCAAGTTTGACAAGAGGCAGGGCAAAGAGTTCTAAAGCTCACAATATATGTCAGCTGTATATCGTCTTTGGATCAGTTCCTCTTCATCTTTTTAAAGGTTGCATTATATTAATTATTTTTCTAAGTTAAAACATAAAAATTGTATGTATTTATTGACTACCATGTGGTGTTTCTGTGCATGTATACATACAAGCTAAATATGCATGTCCCCCGATTCTTCATGGTAAAAAGTGTCTCTTTTTTTAGGAAGTTGGGGAGAGATGGGGTCACACTGTAACCTAAACTGGCCTCAAACTCACAGTGATTCTCCTGCCTCACCCTCCCGGGTTCTGGAATTACTGGGCTGGGCCACCAAATTCAGCTAAAAGCATTTCCTTTGAAAGGGTTGTGTGGTGCCAACAATCTGTCTTCACTTGTTTTAGGGGACAACTGTGGTAAAGGCCAGCCCCTCCCCAGCCCACCCACGTCCCTGTCACTGCTCTAAAAGAGCAGAGTTTGACCACCGTCCCCAGGGAATCTCCACATGAATGCTGGGTTTCCAGATGATTTGTAGCTGGAAACAGCTAGAAACTGTTCTCATGACTCAAGCAATTCAGCTGTGGCTCAGGTCGCTGAAAACTGTTTTGACCGTCTTCCCTAAATTACAAACCCTAAACATTTCTCATCTTCAAATCAAAGCTTTCAGAGTCGCTTAAACAATGTAACCAGCATTCAGCTAAATCCCAAGAGGAGGAAAGGCTACCTTCTTATAAAACCCAAGGCTAGAAACTGTTACCTGAGAAGCAGGCGCTTGGCAGATGGAGGCAACAGACTAATGTCTGCAGGTCAAGATGCTCTCGGGGATATTAGTGCCTCGGAATAGAATTCCCACAGCAGGATAGAGAAACTTAACCGGCAATGTAGGAAATGAACGTTTTTGTTCCTGTAAGCTAAGCCACTCGGGGACTTCTATCCACCTCTTCTGAGATTTGTAACTACATTTGAGTCTGTTTTCTTTTTGGAAACGACAGGATCCACATGCTATAGAGCAAGGCCATGTCTTCTCTCTTCCTCTCCCTCCACTGCTTTTCTTCTCTCACGATGTAGACCCTGTAAGCGTGTATGATGTGTAAAATAATAGTTGTAGGTCATTTTGATATTGTTTCGGTCCCTTTTAAGAAGAATGTTTGACTTGTAAGTATTCAGGGGGCGGGGCTTTTCAGTAGTATCACTCTGCAAATGCTGAGCTGACTTAGTTACCCAGTAGCTCTCAGGCTTCCAATCATTCTCAGAGGGGGCCGAAGGCATGCAATGGCATCCATCCCTGCATTCAGAAAGACACATCAGTATTTATACTTTCTGCCCTGATTTCTGGAGTCCCAAGGGGGCAGAACCCTGGAGGAAAGGGGGGCAGTGGATCTGAGTTCATCTGAGCTCATCCACAGGACAGTAAGGACCAGCTACCAGGGCCTCGTTCACATGTCCTTAGCAGAAGGACATGTGAGGTGTGGTGGTGGTGGGGGGACCGGTTTTGGGAGGATTTGGGACCAAAGAAACTATGAAGAGACCCTACAAATGTCATCATGTGAAAACTTCTATTTAAATTGATTGTACACTTGAAAATAGCCAGAAAAATGGATTTTGACAGCTCCTAGTATAATGAAATGGTAAACACTCTAGACCATGTTTGCTCACTATCCCAATTTGACTCTATTTACATGTTATTGTATATAAATATAACACACAATCCCCCTTAAATGTGTACAATCATATATCAATTAAAATAGTCTAAAGTTAACAATTATTGTTAAATTCATTTTATCAATTTCCATAAGAACACATTAAATCAAAACAGTTGTAAAAAAAAAGAGAATTACTCATTTGATACAAGTTCTCTCTTGCCTTTGACCAGAGTTTTTGCTCGTGGCCAGTAATTAGAGCAATGGAGTTATTTGCTGGTGTGTTAAGGTGGTAGTGAATGAGCAAGTGAATGAGACCTTCTCCCTTCCCACACTTGCAGCTGCCAATGCCTGCCTTCCTGCTCTGTTGTCTGCCCTGACCTCTGCTCACCAACATGCGGAGTCACAGAGGGCTCAGCAAAGCCGAGGCATGCTTTCCAGAGCTGCCTTATCTTGTTCAGCCACACACGGGTTAGTGAACTCAATTGCAAGCAGCGAGTATTCTGGAGAATCACCAGCAAACAGGTTCGTAATTCACAAATGTGGGAAGGTCCTAGGGTTGGGATGAGATGTTTGGCTGAGAAGCCAGTATACAGCTCACAAGGGAAATGTGCAGGAGACACGGGAATAGGCTCCATTTTGCCTGTGGCTGGGACAGGGAGGAGTTTGGGGCCTTTGCCCAAGGCCTAGTATGGGAAAGGTGTCTTATTTTCAGAGGCTAGTTATTTTTTGGTCTCCAACATACATGGATCTCCAGAGTCTTGTTTTCTAAAGATTTCTTTTTGAAGAGAGAGAGAGAGAGAGAGAAGAGAGAGAGAGAGAGAGAGAGAGAGAGAGAGAGAGAGAGAGAGAGAGAGAAAGAGAGAGAGGAGAGAGAGAGAGAGAGAGAGAGAGAGAGAGAGAGAGAGAGAGAGAGAGAGAGAGAGCCACGCACATGCAGATGTCCACAAAAGACAGAATAGGTCATCAGGTTCCCTGGTTTTGGAGTTACAGGGGGTTAGTGAGCTGAACTCAGGTCCTCTGGAAGAGCAGCACATTCTTTTAACTGCTAGGCCATCTCTCCAGCCCTTAAAAAAAAAATCTTAATTTTTTCTCAAACTCAGTTTTATGGTGTCATTGTATGTATTGATATGTCCACACTTAATACATGTAAAACTATAAAGTAATTCTGTTTTTATTACTAGAACACAGAAGTCTTTAAGGTTGAAATGCCATTATTTCTGGCATTTCCTTGCACATGGTAGGTGGCAAGGAAAATGTGGGTAGAATTAAGGCAACTGTGGTAAAATGTAAGTGGTAAATTCATGTTGGAAGTAACCAGATGTTTATGGTACTGCGGCGACAACTTTCTGTAAGCTTGACATCTTTCAATGTGCAAAAACAAAAGGATGTGAAGGGAGCAGGGAAAGAATAGAACGCTATTGTCTGGGCCTGGGTAGCAGTGTGCTTGCTGTCTCTAAGCCTCTTCTGGTGAGACAAGAATGAGAACACCTCACCCTGCCTTCTGTGGTCCCTAAACATTCAGTGACTATCAGTCACGGTGAGATGGAGTGGAGTTTGCAAGTCTCTGAGTCCTGTCTGGGCAGAGCAGATTGCAGATAAACTTTGGGAAGAACCAAGTCATCCCTAGACCACCAGGCCACGCCTCCTACTGTCCAGATCCCAGCCAATGAATATGGGCACGCCCACCTCACTATTACATATGTATGACCCTGGCTGGCCTCCTGGCTTCTTTTCTGCCCCAACACCAGATGCAAGCTGGCTTTTGCTCCTGCTTCTGAGGGAGGAGAGCAGATCAACTCTGCAGGCCCCTTTCGGAAAGCTCATTCAGAACAGACCCCTGCCTGCAGGCTCCCAGCATCCCAGCTCCCTGGCTATCCCCAGGGACCACTGGCAGCAGACCAGGCCTCATGAAAACCTCAAAGGCATCCCAGCGCTACAGAAGCATCCGGAGAAACGCCAGCCAGTGCTACCTCTACCAGGACTCTCTGCTGCTTGGGTGAGTGCCCTGCTGGGGTCTCCAAAATGAATGCATACACTTACTTCTCTGGGGTCACATGGAACTGGGGTGTCAACCACAGCCATGCTCCGAGAGGGAGAAGCTACAAGCTGCTGCTGCTGACAGGAGCTGTATGCTGCACGCACTTTATCCCCCGCCAACTCTACCATAGGCTTTTTCTGCCTGTCCCTGCTTCCTCGATTGCTAGTGTCCGAAGAGAACAGACAAGACACCTGCCACCTCAGACAAATCAGGTGTTGGCTGGAAAGGCTTCTGATGATGTAGACGTGGGCAAGGGTGGGAACTGAATGTGTTAGGTTTTTGTCAGGAATGGTTTTTGTTAAATACTGAAACCTCCGCTAACTCTGGAGAATTTTTTCCTTCAAGGAAATAAAAGACATCTCAATTAGAATTAAAGGAAATGTTTTCTTTAAAAAGTCATAGATTATTCATCTCCACTTAAAAAAATGTATTGAGTTACATATTAAATATAACTAGGGAAAAGGCTCTGTTATAGGTTGAAAAGGTGTTCTTCTACATAGTAGCTATGCCCTGCAGGAGTCTGCCCCATGCATTCGCTTAACTCATTTTTTTCTTTGCAAAAACCCACTTACTAACTCTCTTGTCTTGGGTTTAAAATGAACACAAGTGAACAGAGAGGCATCTCTAGGTGGTACAGGTTTGTGTTCATTTCTTTGACCTTCAGTGCAGGAGAAGGAGGAATTCTTCCTCCAAATTTGGTTGGTCACCTTGGTGAGCCTATAAATGAGATTGTATCCCCTACCAAAACTGCTACTCCTCAAGAGTGAACTCAAACAGGGAAATCCTCCTCTGCTCTCTCCTTTGGTGTCTCTAACCTTGAGAAGTCATTCTTTTTCACTGACCACTGAAGCAATAGAATCCCACAAATGAGTTTCAGTGGGCTGCTGACTCCCAGTCTGTGGACACACACACACACACACACACACACACACACATGCACGCACATGCATACAGTTGACCCTAGCATAGTGAGATGCAGAAATTACTCAAGAAAGATGCTCTTTGCTGGAAGCAATGCTATAATCAGATTTCTTCCATGATGCCCCGTTTCCATTCAGTAACTCGGATGACAGCTTTAATGCTGATGAAACGGGGGACAGCAATGATCCGGAACAAATCTTCCAGAATATACAGTTCCAGAAAGACCTCATGGCAAATATCCGCTGCAGACCCTGGACCATGGGACAGAAGCTGCGGGCACTGAGGTAAGGCCTCCGAGGCAATCATTAATAAAAGGGAATATACTTTATGATAAACAACCACATCCTGCCCATGGAAGCTGGGGTGAGGAGCCATGTGAGAACTGTGACTATCTTGCGTCTGACTCAGAAAAGTCCCAAAGATGCTTGAAGGGACCATCTAGTCACGTAGCTGTTACAGTGTGTGTGTGTGTGTGTGTGTGTGTGTGTGTGTGTGTGTGTGTGTGTGTGTGTGTGTTGTGTTGTGCTGTGTTGGCAGACAGTTTGGGGTTTCTAATCTCTTTTCTAAACACTAGATTTTCACGTTGTCTCCCTACTCACAGGAGACAGGGTAAGAGCCAGAATCAAAGATACATCCCCTTAACTCCCTGCTTTATCTCTCCTGGGAAGGAATTCTCTTCAGTGGCCAGGTTATTAGGATATTTTGAGTCTATTAGAGACTCTGCCTCCCTCAAAGTTAATTCATAGTTATGAATTCCAATACTACCTCTTTCCACCTCCAGCTGTTTGACATTGGACAAGTTTCCTAATTTCTCCAGATCCGGGATCCTCTCTTTGAAGCAGAAGTGATGGTAAACAAGGACTCCTACCTCCTGCAACAGTGTTGCGGAAAATATCAACAGCTAAGCACTCAGAGTGCTGTCAAAAACACTGCCAGAGCCAGACACTACCAGAGATGAACCCAGTCTTCCCTACCCTCTCTCTCTCCTCTCATCTCTGTGACACTGGGGATGGAACCCGAGGCTTCATGCATAAGAGTCCATACTAGACCACTGAACTACATCCAAGGTCCCCAGCATTTTTGATATTCATTCAGCTTAATCCTTTTGTCCACTCAAGTTTGAACTTCTGAAGTTTGAGTTTATTGAACATTAGATGTGCTGAGCATTGTGGGTGTCAGCTATGTGTTCAATATGTAATATGCATGTCTAAGAAGGGAGTGATTGCCACAGATCCCATAAGGGAGCTGGCGGCATGGCCTTCGTGACTGACGCTACTGAGCTGCGGTGGTGAACATTATGTTTACAGGATAAATTTACTGTGCAGCAATCCCATACCTCCTGTTCAGGCACCTCCTGTGTATCCAGAACTACTGTCCCATCGTGCTCTTCCGGGTGGTTTTCTAGATGCCAGTGTGCATTCCTTTTCCTCCATACCTCCCGTCTATCAGGCTGGTGCATCTTCCTATCAAATCACCCTTTCCTGAGATTTGCATCCCAGTCTGACCAAGAGGCCCCTCTGGCTAAAGACATTGACACTTTCATCTCAAAAGGCTAGAGTGGGTTCTCCTCTGCCCACTTCCCATGTCTGTTTCTGGATCTCATCATCTCCATCCTTTGAGGGTGGGCAGCACTGTGCCCACTTGTCGGATAAGAAAGATCGATTGAGACCTTAAGAAAGCAGCTTGAGCAACTGCAGCCAGTGAGTGCCCCAAATAGAAGAGATTTCCTGGGAGGACTGAGGGCAGGTGGGGATGGGAGCATGAGCAATCAGGTTGGGGGTGGGGCGACGGAGGGGGGGAGTGCTGAAGAGACTACTGCAAAGTGGGAGCATTTCCTAGTCAGGTAAAAACCTGGCACAGGGATTCACCCAGGAATCTTCAAGAATGACCCCAGCTTACACTCCTAGCAATAGTGGATATGTAGCCTGAACTGGCCATCTCCTGTGACCAGATTGGTGCCTAGCCCAATTGTCATCAGAGAGGCTTCATCCAGTAACTGATGGAAACAGATGCAGACCGCAACCAAACATTAGGCAGAGCTCAGAGAATCCTGTAGAAGATGGGAAGGAAGAACTGTAGGAGCCAGAGGGGTCAAGGACACCACAAGAAAACTCACAGAATCAACTAACCTGGGCTCATAGGGGGTCACAGAGACTGAAGCCAACAACCAGAGAGTCTGCAAGGGACAACCTAGGCACTCTGCATATATGTTATGGTTGTGTGGCTTGGTCCTCTTGTAGGACTCCTAACAGCGGGAACAGGGGCTGTCTCCAACTCTTTTACATGCTTTTGGGACCCTACTCCTCATACTTGGTCGCCTTGCCCAGCCTTGAAACATGGGGAGGTACTCAGTCTTCCTGCAACTTGATATGCCATGTTTTGTTGATGCTCATGGGAGACCTGCCCTTTCCTAAACAGAAAAGGAGGAGGAGTAGATTGGGAGGTGGGAACGGAGGGGACTTGGGGGAGGGGCTAGGAGGAGAAGAGGGAGGGGAAACTGTGGCCAGGATATAAAATAAGTAAATAAATAAATTTATTTTAAAAAAAATAAACTATATGCTCTAACCCCAAGTCCAGGTCTGTGTTAACTGTACAGATCTTATGAAATCTTTGGCACAATCAATTTAAAGCTAAAGACGATTAAGTTCTACCAGAACTTTCAAACACCATTCAGAAATGACAGTTTTTTTATCTGAGTGATGGGAAGTTAAACTCTGTGTGTGTGTGTGTGTGTGTGTGTGTGTGTGTGTGTGTGTGTGTGTGTGTAAGAAAGAGAGAGAGCTGACTTGCATGTGTAATGCCCAGGGGTCAACATCAGCCATCTTCCTGTTACTCTTTAACTTATTCTTTGAGGCAAAGTCTCTCACTGAACCTGGAGCTCACTATTCCAGCTAGACTAGCTGGTCAGTGACTTCTCTATATCATGTCTCCTCTCCCACCCACCTGGTGCTAGGCTTACAAATATACATTGTTGTGCCCAGCTTTTACCTGGGTTGGGTATCCAACTTCAGTTTCTCATGCTAACACCACAAGCAATTGTAGTGGTTTGAAAGAAAATGGCCCCCAAAGGGAGTGGCACTATTAGGAGGTGTGGCCTTGTTGGAGGAAGTGTGTCACTGTGGGGGCGGGCTTTAAGGTCTCTTTTGCTTAAGCTTCCCTCAGTGTGATTGTCAGTCGACTTCCTGTTGCCTGCAAGATGTAGCACTCTCAGCTCCAGCCCCACATCTGCCTGCATGCCTCCATGTTCACCACCATGATAATAATGGACTGAACCTCTGAAACTGTAAGCGAGCCAGCCCCAATTAAATGCTTTCTTTGTAAGAGTTGCCTGGGTCATGGTGTCTCTTCACAACAATAAAAACCAGCACTAAGATGTGATTCATTCCCTTGAGCCGTCTCCCCAGCCCAAATTAAACCTTTTTAAATATTGAGACCAGAACAGAGGAGCTGCTTACCATTCTTTCAGATAACTTCAGGAATAAAACACAAACTCCAGTGTCGGTGCACTCAGTCATGTTGCCTGACTCACCAGAGCTCCAAAACTGTCAGAGGCAGGCCACACCCCAGGCTGACAGCAAGCCTCCTCTGTCCTCCCCTTGTGACCGGCGTCTCTTGCTCTTTACCTTGAAAAGCTACTGGAGCACCGCTGGTGTAACTGGACCCACCCAGGCTTGTCCTGGTGTCTCTGGAGGCTGCAGAAGGCACTGAACCCTGACTGCTTAGAAATCAAGGAGGGATTCCAACACCAGTAAAAGCTATCTGTCTTCGAAGATGCCACATACGCTTGCTCCCTGTTTCTGGGCCTTCGTTGTGTTCCCCTCCCTCATCTCTCTACCCCTGTCATCCTCCACCACAGAGCTGCTGTGACCTCCTCTTCATCACTGCATCTTGACAGCTGGGTCATCTTTACTGAGTAGGAAGCCCTTCTAGGACAACTCTTTTATAAGAGGGCTGGGCAGCCAGACCATATCCATGACAGGTTTCTAAAAGCCCCGCCAGGGACCAGGCCTTAGTTTCGGGTTACTGGAACTGGCTGGAGCTGAGCACGCAGTCCTTGGGAAGACCACAACTCAGGGGCAACCAATCAGCAGGCGCCCCCCAGCCTTCTGCTGGCTAAAGAGAGCTTTTCCTACCCTGTAGCTGGAAGGTCCCTAACCACTAGAACCTCCCACCAATCAGCTACCAGACTAATCTCTCCTCCACCAATTAGCACTAGATTAATTCCTCCTCCCTGGAATTCTCCTAACTCTGCTTAAAAGGAGCAGTAATTATTATTTTAACCATAACTATCCCAGTGAATTCAGCCTACTGTGCCTATGTACATGTGAATACTTGCATGTGTATGTGTGTGAGTATATGAGTGGGAGAGAGAGAGAGAGAGAGAGAGAGAGAGAGAGAGAGAGAGAGAGAGAGAGAGAGAGAGAAGGTACATGTCTGTGTACATACTGTGGAGACTAGAGGATGGACTCTGGTGCCATGCCTCAGGACTCTCTCAACCTCATTTATGAAACAGGTGTCTTACTTGTCTGGATCTGGCCTCACCAAGCAGGCTAGGTCGACTTGCCTGTTTCCAGTACTGAAATTCCAAGTGATCACCATCACACCTGGATATTTATGTGGATTTGGGAGATTGAATTCATGTTTTCATGCTTGTAAGGAGAGCATTTTATTGACTAAATAAATTATTCCAATTCCAACTGCTGTCCATTTTTAAGAATCAAGCATTTTCTGGGTATGGTGGCATGTGCCTTTAATCCCAGCAGTTGGGAGGCAGAGGTCAGGTTCACGGGCATATAAACGCAGCTTCGTTACACTCATTAACTTGACAGTGCCCCTTTCTTGAAGCAGGCTCCTTGAAGAAAGGTATGACTTTCACTCCTAAAGAAGTGACTGAAAGGGGCTGGGGAGACAGTGATCTTCCAGAGAACTGGGGTCAGTTGGTATTCTTTTCCTGCTGTGCCTTCTCATATTTTGAAAAATGTTGAATGTGGTAAAGTTGTGGTAACTTTTACGTTTTTCTTCTCTCAGACGAGCAAAGGAGATTGTACTGAAGTTTGAAGGGAGGTTGACTAGGACCCGAGGCTACCAAGCAGCAGGAGCAGAGGTAAAGAGCACACACGAGGCCCAGCCAGCCTCCTCTCCTGCTGTGTCTAGAACCCAGAAGCCGCCATTGCCCCAGTCATCACACGTAGGTTAGGAGCACCCAGCGTTAATAACTGCAGAAGAGGGGATGAGTCAGCAAGTTCGCACTACGCCAAACCTGGCTCTTAGTCCTGGGTACCACCTGTTAATCAGGAGCATGCTATAGGTAAGCCTAGTTCATGGGGAAAGGGAAATTTTTTGTGAGAATAATCCAGAACCCTTCCTGACTGACTCAACCCCTTACCTGTAAGTTGCACTTGCTTCATCCCTATATTTGGCTGTATCACCATGGCCCTCACATTGAAGTCCTCAGACGACTAAAAATGGGAAAAGGACTGGGTGCCCCTCACTGAGCTCTGCTGCTCCTTCTACAGATGAGCCACTGGCTGCCCAAGGAAAGAAAAGAACTTGCTGGGGGCTCATGATAAGACAGGTATAAAGTGAGAACTGGAGCTCAGATCTGACTCCTGCTGTGTGCTTCCATGACTTAAGGACCTTAAAACAGTGCAGAAACCCGATGCTTACTAAGCCCAGGCCTTTGCTGAAGGATGCTTGAGCAGCCCTGCCTTTGAGGACCATAGGGATGGGAGGGGTCAGAAAGTTTGGTGTATTTCTGGGCTCTGGATATGAGGCAGGTGTGCAAAATGCAGATAGTGCCAGGCAGACATAAGACAATGTCAAGAAAGACCAGTGACCCTAACAAGGAGAATTCAGAGACAGAGACATCTGCTCCTGGCTGTTCACATGCAGTCTGCGTGATTGCTCATGGGAGTAGCGCCTGTCATTGACTTGGTTCTCAAATCATGAGCTAAAGACAGTTCCAACTTCTGATAAAACTCAGATGTCCATGTGCAAGCGGCCGTCTGGCCTCAGCAGATGCATCCAGAATGACATTATCCTGTGAGTCTGTGTTAGGACCGTGTGCTGTCTTACAGTTGGGAACGCGGTAATTACATTTGTGGCTCTTCCTTGTGCAGTGATATCATTTGCCTCCAACACAAAGCGGGACTGTTTGTGTGTTAGAATGCACAACCTGTCAGTTTTGCTGGAGAGCAGAGCCGGCATAGGCCACATTCCGCTTTGCTCTCCTCTGAGAAGGAGAGTAATGATTTCATACTCTTGGCAATGGTATGGCAAGTCCACAAGACAAAACTCCCGAGCTTACTCTCGGCAGCTTTGGCCAGGACCAAGGCCAGGAACTAGCTTGTAGGATACAAGAGGAATCTGGGGTGGAGCTCATTTTCAGGGAAGATTCTAGACTTTTGGTCTTTTAAAAAAGGGTGCAGATAGAATCATCTGGGGAGCTGGTGAATCAAATGGATTTATAGGCTCCACTCACCTATAAATCTACTAGGAGCTACTAGGAGTCTATGGCTGGGTCAGATGGGTATCTTGAGATAACATTCTTCGTGTGATTTCCACTTTCCTAGTCCTCGACCCATGAATAAGGCAGACTTTGACCCAAAAGAGTATAGATCTCATGGCTGGGGCGTAGCTCAGGTGGTAGAGTGGTTGACTAGCATGTGCAAAGTCCTGATCTCAATTAGCATCACACTAACTTGATGTTGTGGGGTCCCCACACTTGGGAAATAGAGACAGAAAGATCAGAAGTTCAGGATTATACTTCAGTACACAGTGAATTTGAAGCCAGCCTAGAATTCTTAAGAGTCTGTCTCCAAAAAGAAACACAGACCCCATAGCACAGAGTGCAAACTGGTGTACCTTGCCTGGTCAGGACACAGGGAACATACAGGGCTACTTTGGTCTTGGGAATGTTTAATGGCCTACGAAGCCATAATTAAAGGTTCTGTGGGTGTGTCTGGGAGCCCCTCCTCTACCCAGAACCCCAGAGCCCTAGCCATTACCAAGGTTATGAATGAGAAGTTTTCTAATCACGGCCTCTCCTGTCTAGCTCTGGCGGAAATTCGCTCGTTTGGCCTGTAACTTTGTGGTCATCTTCATTCCCTGGGAAATGAGGATAAAGAAAATTGAGAGTAAGTATCCCCTGGAGGAGTGGAGGGGGGTGTGCAGCTGGGGCCAGCACACAGCCTAAGGCGTCTGGTGAGCCTTGGCCGTTTATGACATAGAGTCAGCCAGGGTACTTACACAGGTAGAGACCCTGCTCATGTGGGGATGAAGAGATGGAAGACCTGGTGCCTTCACCACCTCCCAGAAAGTCCCCATGCTGCATTTCTACATTCAGCCATGGCTGCGTGTTCATTCCCAGTTCGTTCATTCGGTCAGAGAGCACAACTCTGAAGGATCAGTGAAAAACTGTAAGGAGAAGTAAGATGTAATTCCCAGATATAAACATGAAAATACGTGTTTTTATAGAAGACTGTAAGCATTTAGAATACCCATGCTAAAAATAAATAAATCATACTCCAAATCCCTTTCTCCTCCTGGCCCACATGCACAGAGGATAAACAAACTTTAAAATGTCCCGAAGTGAAGAAAAGCATGAAGCTGGAGCCAAGATGATGATGTTCTTTTGAAGAGACAGGGGGACATTTATTCAAAGTTGGAGACTTTCCCAAAAATCAGTTCCCAAGTTTAATGCAATTCCACAAATATGCTCAGTGTATTGCTTAGAGTCCTTGATCACATGATCATAAAATGCAAGAAGGAAAACATCCAAGAGATAGATTGGGAGATAGGAGTAAGAAAATATTCCCAAGAAATTACATGAACAGAAGGTTAAATAAAATATATTAATAAAAGTTAAAAACCAAACAGCACAGAGCAGCACAGTGTGGGGACTGACTGACATTCAAAGGAACAGGCAAACATTTCAGAAACAGATAAGAAGGCAGACCACTCCTTCGACACCCAACTGTTACTGGGGTCAATAGAAATCACTCTGTAAATATTGCCGGGACAATTGATTCAGCCATTTCAAAGAGTCAATCTAGTCCTTTGATTTTAATATTCTATTAAATAGTATGAATACACAGCCAGAAATCATGAAAATCATTGAAGAAAACCTAAGAAATGAGACCTTAGCATAGAGACCTGTTTAATCATAAAAGTGAAGGGGGAAGTTATCCAGAAAACTGCTTTTTAATTTACTTATTGGAAAATGCTTTTTAAAGATTTGTTTATTTTCAAGTGTGTGGGAGCATTACCTGCATGTATGTGTCTGTTCACCACGTGTGTGCATTGCTCACAGAGGCCAGAAGAGGGTGTCTGGAAGTGGAGATGGTTGTGAGCCACCATGTGGATCCTGGGAATCACACTCAAGTCCTCTGGAAAAGCAGCTGATGCTCTTAGCTGCTGAGCCTTCTCTCCAGCCTCAGAAAATAGACTTCATATACATAAAAAATCAAAGGCTAGATGGAAAGTTAGAAAAATCATGTTTGATATTTCAACAGAGTTAAATGCTCTCTTACCTTTAAATTTAGAGAAAGTGTGTGTATACAGAACGTTACAGAGTTTCTACATACCCTTTATCTGGCTTCCTCAGTTGTTAACACCGTGATATTTTTAATGTTGAAATTAAGACAAAGGATCTTAGAGAAACCTTGGAATGTGCAAAGTGATTCAAAATAGGACAGAAGTATATGGAAGTCTCGAAAGTTTCTAACTTTCCAAAAACATGCATAAGTTAGTAAACTTTTCTTGGCATGTTAGCTGAGTACAGCACCAGGGACTTTATCAGAGAGCGGTCCTGGTGAACTAGAGCTTGTCTTTTGTACGTAGAGCTGGAGACCAGGCACAGGATGCTGACCCAGCTGGTGGGGGGCATCGATACAACATCACTCTTCCTGTGTGTGCTGCTGGTGGAGGTGAAGGCAGTCCTGCTGAGGCAGGCTTTCTGCTCTGTGAGGCTTGAGCCGAGCCACGCTCGTGTTGTCTGCCCATAGGTCACTTCGGATCTGGCGTGGCCTCCTACTTCATCTTCCTGAGGTGGTTGTTCGGAATTAACATAGTGCTCATGATGATGACAGGTGCTTTTGTTGTCATTCCTGAGGTAAGAGTTGTGCCAGGAGGTGCAAGGCGTGCAGAGGCAGGTGCGATAATCTGCTGCCCTCATTGACATCACAGGAAGGCTAGGCAGGACATGGCAAGCTTTCTGCAGAAGAACACAGTGAATGTACCAGACTCAGTCACCACTGCTTAGATTCGCCGCGTATCACAAAAGAAGGTTTGAGCGTGGCAGAGACCAGGGAGGGTGGCTGAAATCTGAATTTCATTTTATGTTGGTTTTCCTTTGATTATTTCTCCCAACCGCTTAATGATGTAAAAACCATTCCTATCCATATCTCTCTGGACATACAAGAAAGGTGACACACTCTAACTGGTCTAGACGCTGGTTTGCCTCCCCAGTATTCCAACTGAACTCCTTCTTATAAATAGAACTGTTCCTTTCCTCGGGGAAGAAGAGGTCTGGGGACCTCAGCGATGTAGCCACAGAAGCCACGACTCATTCTCTCACATGGGTTTGCACAGTAAGAGCACAGGCAAGCAAGCCCTATTCACGGCATCTCCACAGGCACATGGGGATCCACCATCCCTCTTATCTAGTCCCCGAGCCCAGAGGAATATCTCAGCCCTTCCTCTCTTACCAGCTGATTGCAGGCCAGCCCTTTGGAAGTACAGCCAGCAAGACCATCCCCCAGGAGCAGGTCATGTCTGCACAGGATCTGGACACTGTCTGGTCCCTGGGGGTAAGGCTAATGTCGGCTACACTCAGGCCTTGCAGGGCGGGGCGGGGGGGGGCCTGAAAGGGCCACAGTTCTGGGATCTGGGAATCAGAGACAACTCTTTGCTCTCTTTGCAGGGTTACCTTCAGTACTCTGTCCTGTTCTACGGGTACTATGGAAGAGAGAGGAGGATTGGGAGAGCCGGCTACCGCCTGCCCTTGGCATATTTCCTGGTGGGGATGGCAGTGTTTGCTTACAGCTTCATCATTCTCTTAAAAAAGTATGACTGTCGATTTCTCAAAACCATGTCTGGCGTTCGGTTAGAACATGTGTGATCTCACGTCATCCTGTCAACAGCCCTGTTAAAGTTATGAGTCACTGTGACCGTTTTTTGTAGAGGAAGAGACAAAGGCTGGAGAGTTATATAATTTTAACCAGCACTTACTGTACGTTGAGTCTTTTGTGCGAGGCTCTGTGAGGGGTTTGGAGAGACAAGCGTAGGGATTTATGTGTAGTGTGTGATTTTAGAAAATGCCATAGCTGCACTAATAAGATACGATCCATGACATCTAGGTGACTGGCGGTGGTTGAAAGCAGCCAGCTCTCTTTGGTTGTGACCAGGTGATGAAGCATTGATGCCTCCTATCCATCATTGAGAGGAGGTCACCATATAAAAGAGAGCAAACTGGCCTGAGGCAAGAGCCCTGCAGCGCCCACTGTGAGCTCCACTGACTTCGCCCAGAGCCCTGCGGCAACTCGCTTTTCCTCTTTGCATACATCGGCTCAGAAAAGCACCAGGCTACCAGGCCCCCTTCCAGATTAACATCCTCTGCTTCTGTGTAGAGCTGGGGGGAAAGAGAGACAGAGACAGAGAGAGATGTGAGCTGACAAAGGACCTCCGAGCCTAGGGAGAGCCTGGCCCCCATTACCTCAGCTGTTATCTGTGGTCTCCTTTGTACTTTCACCCATTTGTCGCCCCGCCCCCACTGTCCCAGCAGCAAAGTATCCATAGAGGTGTTTGGGATCAGAAACTACATAGCAAATAAATAGGCAAACCCAGAAAACTTGAAGAGATGTACAGTGACTTGCAAGCCTGCATCAGATGACCGAAGTCTCTCTAGCTCAGCTCCTGGTGGCCTCAAGACCCCACCAGAACAATTCCAATCTTTTACTAGTGTTACTCTTTAAAAGCAATTCAGAACAGATGTGAGAGCATGAAATGTAGCTGAAGAAGAAATCCAATGCTTATTACTGGAGAAATGGCCTAAAAGTCAGTGAGGGGGGATCTTCTGCCTTCAAATATCTAAGGAATGTCCTGTGCAGGAGGAACTTAGTCCTTCTTGGGGAATCCCATGGGGAGGAGTTACCACAGGCAGAAGCGACAGGAACATGACTTGATCTCAGAAGGATGGTGACCACTTTACCATCACCGCTGCAGACATGAGGTCTCCTGGGACAAGCATACCTCAATGGCCGCTGGTCACCCCTGTGCCAATGAGAATGCCTATCAGAACGACTCATGAGATAGTTACTGTTGCCATTTTCATCCCGTGAAAGGATGGGCTGAGGGTCCAAGTGTGGTTAAAGTGCAGCCCGTGCTCTGCTCGCCAAGCAGGGACAGAGGAGCTGTGTCAGAGGACAGCTTTGCCCAGGTCCCACAAAGTTTCCATGTCAGGTTGTGATATCCTGGAGAGAGCGATCCCATCCCTGAGACCTAGTCCTGTGGCTGACGGGAGCCTCTCTTGCAGAATGGCTAAGAACTCCCGTACCAGCCTGGCCAGTGCTTCCAACGAAAACTACACCTTCTGCTGGCGGGTATTTTGTGCCTGGGATTACCTCATTGGGAACCCGGAGGCTGCAGAGAGCAAAACAGCCGCCATCGTGAACAGCATTAAGGTGAGTGAAGGCCGCACCGTGGAATCCAGACTATCAAGACTGCAAGACAGTCTGCACCCCCTGCTGGCGGAGCCAGCACACTCCCTTTCCTCCCCACCTAGGGCAATAGATCCAGTGGAGGTCAACATGACCGGGAAATGTACCGCAAGAACCCATAGGAAATTAAGAATAAAAGCTCAAAACGACTCTTTTATTTCTATATATTGTTTCTTCTTAAATTTTTGATTTGTGTATTTTTTATAATTTACACAGTGGATTCTTAAAGCCTATAAATGAAGAAATACTTCTTCTACATTATGTATATAAGCTTTTATCTTTAACTTAGAAGTCAATGTGATCAAAATCAGTCAGAGATGGGGGTCAGCTGAATGTCATAGGCAACTAAAGGAAACCTTATTATGAGGGGAAAATATTTCAATGATCCAAAGTATCACAGCCTTTTCTTTCCATTCCTTCTTCCCACTCTCTGTTCTTTTGCTTAATTATTAGATAATTGATATCTAATTCATTGTTGTCAATAGAAACTTACAGAAGAAAGTCATAGCCATTGAAGATAAGAATTAAGATAATGGATCAGTTTTGGGGGGATGATTTTGTTGATGTTCTTGTTTTTCTTTTTGCTTTTAGACCCAGGCTGGCTCCATACTTATTAGTGGATTCTCCTAAGGGCTGGGATTACAGGGTGTCCCACCATGCCCAGCTGGATACCTTACTCCTAGTGGTTATAATTGGTTGAGGCTAGGCTTCTAACGCTGCCTGTGTTTTCCTTCCAGGAGGCCATACTGGAAGAGCAAGAAAAGAAAAAAAACAAAAACATGTAAGTATTAATATGCCCATTCATTAATTTTTGCCTCATTTGGTACAAAGAGTTATCGAGTTATCTATATCTTATTTTCATAATTGTCATGCAGCTCCTCCTTCCTCTCGCTGTCAATCTCGTTAGTGATGTCACCTGTGGGAACCTCATTCCTTTCCCATAGCTGTCTCTAGGAGTGCTTCCTCCTGCTGTATCTTCTGCACCTGGACAGAGGGTCTGAAACTGACCAGTTTCCTGTTCTTTTACTTATGCAATACAATGGCTATCTTTAGTAACATTATCTAGTTTGCTAAGTAAAGGAAGACACATGAGTATCATTAGGATTAATTTTATTTAGAAACAATTCTTTGAGTTCCTAAGATACAAGGAGCATCCCATTCACAGCCAGAGCCTTCTGAGATGACCTCCTGGGGGCCAGGTTTGTTGTGAGATCTTTAAACAGAGACCCAGCAGAACGAAAGGATGCTGCCATGAAGGGGCGATGGCCCTGTCCTCATTAGGACAGGCATGTCCACCTTCCTCATTGCATGGTCCTGTTAAATTTGTAGCTACTGGCTACTGGGGCAGTGCCAGAAAGAGCTGTATGCAAGCAGCTGGGAGAGGTGGATTCTAGCCCTCCCTGGCATAAACCCCAGTGACCCAGAAAGCTGACCCACAACCTATTTGACCAACACATCCTCTCCAGTGCAATGGCAGGATGGGCCCCATCAGGCCTCTCAGAGGCTAGAGCACATGCCCACCACAGTCATCTACAGTCTCTGAAAGCACAGGCCTCAGTTTGGGTTACCATCCCTGACAAGGGGATACAAAGTCTGTGTCTTTCTCATATCCAATCAAATGGTTTAAATGACCCCTGGAATTTGAAAATGATCGCCACCTTTAAGTTCATTCTAGACCCAAGAGGTCTTACTCAACAATTCATTCCTGGTGAACCAAGGAAGAACCAGTTTTCAAGTCCTGGTCCTTATCACTTTGTGCAGAGGAAGACAGAGATGCAGCAGGTACTCGGGACCAGGGGGGAAGCAGAGAAAGAGGGGATTACTATTTGTCTACTCGGCTCCAGGCCCAGCATACTTTGACTGGTGTGATCACCAGGAAGGACGCCAGGTGCATGGCCGTAGGGAGCCAGCCATTGTGTCCCCAACACATTCCTCCTAACTGGTACCTTGTGAGTAGTATGATCCCGGCAATGGTGACTGTGCGCTTTGGAGGCAGGAGGATGGCGTTGGTGGACCTAGCTGGCTCGGTGTTTTCTGTCCCAGTACTCCACAGCTCTGAGTCTGCGGTGTTCCTCTTCCAAAGGAATAACCCCATCGTTGTCAAGCACACTATATTTTCCTTTTTTACCTAGAAGATACCATTTACCATTTCATTCAGGAATCAGTTTTCTTTATGCAGATGAAGGGCAAAAGTGGACATAAAGGAAAATACCTTGACCTGCCCAAGCTCCCCAATAGTGGGACTTCATGGGAGGGGTGGTACACTTCTTGTGTGCCCCTTCAAGTCATCTTGGCCCTGTCTCTTTCTCCGGGCAGTTATGCAAGCTTGCTCATACCTAGACCAGCTACACCAGTGCCGCTCTGGGAAGTGCTCACAGGGTCCTGGTCCACACTCACGTACTGTCATCCACAAGCTGGGTACACTCTTGGTGAGACTACCTATGGAGTCACCCGGTGCCACAGGAAATGGAGTGAATGCTTTTCTCTCCTATGCTGGGTATGCTGGGAGCATTCTATCGCCCTCAGAAGGCCTCCAGCTGCCTCCAGCTGTGGCAAACTCTACCACTGAGCCTCATGGTGACGGCTCATCTCACCTCCACTTCCTCAGCCTTCACTCCCGCTTGCTGGAATTATTTCCCAAGTCAACTCTCTGCAGACAAGCCTTTGCCTGGAGCGTTGGTTTCAGGGAAGCCAGGCTGAGGCTGGCCCCAAAATGGACGGAAGGAAATGCTTTGGGAATAGACTGACTAGTCAGTTGCCTAGTACTTACAAAGGGCGGGGCGGGGGGGGGGGCACGTTCTATGTAAATTCTAGAATCATTAATGATTTATAATCTCCCCACACTGTCAGAGGAAGTGCAACCAAACAAGGGAGGGCCATTCCCAAATCCACCTCACCGGTTCATCTAACGCATATCAAAGTACTTAGATGTGCTGGCGGCTGTTCTGAGAGCTGTGGACACAGGGATGACAAAGACTGAAGATTCTGAGATCTCCCACGACCCAGGGGAAAGACAGCTACTAGCCAAGTAAATACATGGCAGATACCAGACTCACAGTGTGGAATCATGGGTGGGTCCACCAACTGCCTTCTGAAAGACGGGAGGCCAGTTTTCCCCCTCCCCCATTCCTCTTCTGCTGGAAATGTTATGTGAATTCCTGTCTGCGTCACAGGACTCTAAGTGTGTGTGTGTGTGGAGGGGGGAGGTACGTATGTATTGGTTAGTGTAGGTGTGAAGACACATGTGTGTGCATGGATGCCAGAAGTAGACATTGAGCATCTTTCCTCAATCCTCTCTACCTTTATGGTTTGAGACCCAAAGCTCATTTTCCTAAGCTTGCTAGCCAGTGAGCTTCAGGGATCTGCCTGTCTCTGTGGCCCCCAAAACCAGGTACTGGGGCTACAAGTACACTCTACCTTGCCTGGCATAATTTTAAACATGGGCTCTCAGAATCTGAACTCGGGTCCTCATGCCTGCGTGACAGGCACTTTCCAGTGGAGTCACCTCCCCACCCCTGTAGTGATATATTATACATGATAAACCTCGGACTGAAACCTACAGACTTGGATCCTAAAACACGTGTTTGATGACTTCTTAGAGTTCCAAGCTGCTGGCTTACTGAGTTTACAACTCTGTTGATGTCTCGGAAATGAGAAGTTGGAGGTGGAGGGAACAGAGAGGACCCCAAGCAGGGGAAAGGCCCCTATCCCGAAGTCACACCATCTGCAGCCTTGCACTGCCTCTCTTTTCAGGGCGGTGACTGTCTGCCTGAGAATCATCGCCAACATCCTGGTGCTCCTGTCGCTGGCTGGGAGCATCTATCTCATCTACTTTGTGGTGGACAGGTCCCAGAAGCTGGAGCAGTCGAAGAAGGAGCTGACACTTTGGGAGAAGAACGAGGTACCCACTGACCAGCAATTATATTAGCAAGTTGCACTCTATTGGGGGTGTGGGTGGGGGTAGTGACAACATTCCTCTTCTCTGCTTCTTTAGTGAATTACACTGAAATGTCTCTAGAAATGAGCATAGCCTGCTAGTTCTAGAGTAGGGACCAGGGCCTTCAGGTCCAGTAGCATCAAGTCCTGGTGAAATGACTTGGAAGATCTTCATTTAAGAACTCCTCCAGGTGCTCATACCGACCCTTCTGGTTCAGCTTTGCCCTGCTCACTGCTTTTCCTTTGCATCCTCACTCTCAGGCTCCACCCACAGACCTGCATCTGTGACCACACTGACCCACAGTGTGTGCCTCCAATCCCACCAGCTGCTTCATCCAACACCTAGGTAGTTTCCAGAATCAGCCACACAAACTGTTTGGTTATTGAACAACCCATCCTCAAGTGAGTGAATATCTCCATAAATAGAAAACTACCAAGTAGGAGGGTAGGGGGAATTTCAGAATTTCTAATATTTGTTGTGACTGTTGTCTTGAATGTTTGGTCCAATTTACCTACCAAGATTTGAAAGACAAAAATAATTCCAAACCACCTTTTGGATTACCCTGATAAAAATAACTAGCATCCACTTTAAAAGCCATTAGATGGGCATACATCTGTCCTGTGTGTGTTCAGCTGTGTCTAATCATTTCTTAGAACCTGAGAGTATACCAGGTGGCCTCCTTGTATTTTATACCAGTTATGTGGGTTATGTAAATTTGTACCTCTTTGTGCGTTTATAAAGTGGCAAATTTTAAAACATCTGTTCAGGAATTATTTCTTAAGTTAGCTCAAGCATCTTGTGTACCAGCTTAAATTCACTTTTCGTTTGCCATAAGTCCAGACAAACAAGAGCCAGGCATGGTTCTCCAGATAATTAATCCCCCGTGTGCAGAGGGATATTCAATTACGTCTCTGCCTTCCCCTTTCTGATCATAATAATCACAATTATTTCCATCCTCCATCCAAGGTCAGGGAGGTATAAACACAATGAATTAGTGATTGGTAAATGTGACAGAAATGCTCCTGAATCCCAGACAGCATGCATAAGCATCCTCGTGGGACCTTAAAGGAGAGTTCCAGAAAGGAACAAACTCATGATGGAGTGGTGGTAGCCTTCTGAAAAAGGACAGCTCTCAAAGGCTCGGGGAGGTTTCTAAACAGGAACTCGGTGTCCCTGTGAATGGTCGGTAGCCATATAGAAAACTAAATGTGGTTGAGGGAACTGCTATGAAGAACTTGAGAAACATTCACTCTCTCCACAGGTGAGTGTGGTGGTCTCCCTTGTCACCATGCTAGCACCGTCTGCCTTTGACCTCATCGCTGCCTTGGAGATGTACCACCCACGGACAACACTGCGCTTCCAGTTAGCAAGGTATATAGATAGCATCCTAGGTGGAAGACCCCCAGTGTGGCTCAGCCATCATCCACCCTCAAGGGGACTGAATCCCTGCAGAGCTCAGGCATGCTTCTCCTCCGAACTCGGCATAAAGCTTTCCCTAGGGACATAGCTCAAGAAAAGCTGGGGGCAATGGAGATGAAAGCAAAGGAGTCAGGGAAGGAGAGAACAGAATGATGCAGGGTAACCCAGCTGGAATGATGGGTAATGAAGAAGAGGAAGCAGAGAAAGAGGAGGAGGAGGGACAGAGGAAAAGAGGGGGAAAGCAGGCAGGAAAAGCAGACACAAAAGGGCAGCAAGATGATGGGATGTATGTCTGGGTTTCCTCATTATTGAATTCTCTCTGTGGTTGGACTCTGAGTGGCCAAATAGACCCCCATTGTTTGCCAGACATGGGAGAGACAGCCCATGCTCCGCTACTAACTACCCAAGCACAAAGTTGTATGATGCTTTGAGCTGTACCAAGACAGCCAGTGACTGCAATAGCAGATGTCAAAAGCAGACATGGCCCGAGCCGCAGCAGACTGTGTGTGCAAGAGAACATCCCAAGACTGCCTCCTCGAGAGTTAGCGCCACATTGCAAGGGCTGGCTTTCTGGAAACCTGATTTTCTTCCCTGGAGTTCTTTCTCCTCCACTTGAAGTGATGTATTGGTAAAGAGCAGGGTATAGGAGCTATCAGAGCCCTGACACTTACCTTAAGTATTTCCTCACCCTGTCCACACTGGCTTCTCCATGCCATCTTCTGTGACACCTCGTGACCCTCCTCAAACCTCAGACCACGCTGAGAAGGATTGCTTCCACTCTGGAGTCAGTCGATACCTTCCAGAAAAGACGTAGCCGCCAACATTTTATAATCCACCATCTATGCATATATCTCATCCCAGCTACAAGCTCTAAGGGAGAAACATAAAAATATCCTCTGCTGATAGGGCAAAGGGCTGGGCTGTCTGGCGGCATTTTATTTACTAAAATAGGTGAGGGTATTGCTTGGCTTGAAGACTCCAGTTCCTCGACTCCTGAAATCCTACTGCCCTAAAGACAGAAAGCCACCCCTAGAAAGGTCAAGGTGTTGACCAAAACCCCACAGCACAGGATAGACTTGGGGCAAAGCTTGGGGCCCGCTCACCCTGCTGTTTGTTTTCTGTTCCACTCTGCACCTCTCCAGCCTGGATAAGAGGTACCTTCCTCAGTTCCTTCCTTGCCCACAGGCACTGAGGAGAATCAATTCCATTATTGCATTTGGTGTAACAGCAATCCTATTACACAGATCGGCCTCGTTATTCATACTCAAAACTAGAGAAACAGAGCCACAGAGAGACATAACCTCAGACAAATGAGACATAATTTGGAAATAAAAGCAAGACAGATTATTTTAGCTCCATTAACTCACCAACAGACCAGGATACCTTTCATCCAAGATGCAGTGAGAACCCTAAGCTCCAGCTCTGTCAAGAACTCATCAGGCCCTTCTTCCATCAGCACTCGCCATGTACCACTGGAGGGGCTGTGGCCCACACAGGCTAAGGCACATGCTGAGATCATCCTGGGGTGATGCATAAGGGAGTCCCTTCATAGTTTCAGAGGAAAAGCAAGTGGCAAGGGTGTCTCCTTGAGAAGCTGTCTACCTACACGTGGCGTTACCTGAACCCCATAGAGATGAAGGAGGCTGGTGTGGATGTGTGGGTCATTGTTTCCATGTGAAAGTAGTCTCCTTAAGATAAAGCTGTTTGGGGCTGGAGAGATGGCTCAGAAGTTAAGAACACTGACTGCTCTTCCAGAGGTCCTAAGTTCAATTTCCAGCAACCACAGGGTGACTCACAACCATCTATAATGAGATGTAGTGCCCTCTTCTGGCGTGCAGGTGTATATGCAGGCAGAACACTGTATGCATAATAAAAAAAATAAATTTAATTGGGAAAAAAGATCTATCTTATAAAAAAAAAGGTAAAGCTGTTTCCCTATCACTGGATTTGATTCCACATCTGCACATCACCGACCCAGTGAAGGATCTACAGAGGCTACTTTCCTCGCCCATCTTATTTCTTTAGACAGGTTTCTCGTAATACCCAAGACTCCATTGTGGGCAGTGCCAAATATTCCACTCTGGGAGAACAGACACCATGTCTATAGTGATTGGCACAGACTTCCACAAGCGGATCCCACTCTCTGGCAGCTACTCGCATGGTGTGACTGTAATACTGCCCCTCTGTGCTCCTGTGGAGCCCAGCCGGTATTTCCAAGGGTGGGTGTTGGGATGTACAAGTGGCATGCTGGTCCTTTCAGTCTCATGGACTGGACAACTCTCAGTGTTCCACGTTTCTGTTCTCTTGTCCCTTGAATGGGGAGTGTAACATAGACTTGCTGAGAACTGAGTGGAATGATACCAGGTCATAAACTTCCAGACCAGAAAGCATGGGCCAGATGTTATATCGCCCCACAGAACCCATGTTCTTCTGCTACACTAGTGTTTCTAACTGGCTGGTCCAGGGATGGCTACTGTGGGATCACCTGGGAAAGATGTAGACTCCAAACCCCACCCACACCTGCTGAAGCTAGATGGTTTGAATAGTCTGGGATTTTTGTTTTTTACATTATCGTGTGTGTGTGTGTGTGTGTGTGTGTGTGTGTGTGTGTGTGTGTGTGTGTGTGTATGTGTGTGTGTGTGTGTATGTGTGTGTGTGTGTGTGTGTGTGTGTGTGTGTGCACGCATGCGCACGTGTGCATGCACATGTGTATGTGTGATTCATGTGATGTATGTGGAGGTCAGAGGACAACTTGTGAGAGTCAGTTTTCTCTTTCTACCATGTGGCTCCTGGAGATCAAGGTCAGAGGTCAGGCATGACCACAAGTACCTGTACCCACTGAGCCATCCCATCTGCCCTATAATCTATGGTTTTTCAGTAACACCCAGGTAACTCAAAGAAAGCCATGTGCAGCAAATACTGTCTTAGTATCATGTCCATGATGGCTTAGAACTCTCAGGAGGCCCCAGACTGCTGGTCCTGTGTGTGGTGGTCTTGTTTCTCAAGATGTCTTGTGGTTTTCAGGGTCCTGGTACTGTACCTAGGAAATCTCTACAGCTTGATCATTGCTCTTCTGGACAAAGTGAACAGCATGAACATTGAGGTGAGTGTCCAGATGGGACAGCACCTGCCGTCACTACTGGGTGGTACCTGTCATAGCTGCCTAGGCTGTACAGCACCTACCATCACTACTGGGTGGTACCTGTCATAGCTGCCTAGACTGTACAGCACCTGTCATCACTACTGGGTGGTACCTGTCATAGCTGCCTAGGCTGTACAGCACCTGCCATCACTGTTCAGACTGGATAACCTTCCTCCCACTACTGTCCAGATTGGACAGTCACCTGCCTCCACTGCCTAGATTGGATGTACACCCAACATTAAGGCCTAGACTGAACAGTCCCCCACCCATCACTGTCCCAACGGGACAGTCTCTTGTCATTGCTCCCCATACAGCACCCCATGTCAGCATCTTCATCATCGTTGTCCTCTTTGCTGCTTATACTTGTGTCTCACATGGCATATCCCAAACCATGCCACTGTGGTCCTTTTAAGGTGTAGAGAGAAATTTAAGCCCCATTTCCCAGATTTAAAAAAAAAAATGAACAGTGCTGTTATGATCGCCTGGGCTGTTGCCTCCATGTCTCCCTGGGCCATGCGATCTTATTTTCATGCCTCCATCAGGAAAGACTGTCAACAGCTCTTTCAAATAACTCCAGGAAGATGAGCAGACCCTAGGCTCCTCCAGAAAGTGAAAAGAGAATAGTCTTCCCATACCAAATAGCTCAGTGTATGCTCGAGTCCCAGCCTCACAGGCAGATTTAATGTTCATTTCAACCTGCTCAGCCCTCCAGGACACCCTGAGTGGGAGGGGTAGGGAGACAGGAGGAGGAGCTTGCCGAGGGTCGTTTACGAAAAGTGTATCATAAATTTCAGGGTATATGGGCCAAAGAGGCCGTGGAGAGCTGGGGTTTGAAGTCACATAGACCTTGATCCTTACCTGCCACTTACTGGAGCATTAGTCTACCACTTACTGGATCCTTATGAACTTGATCTAAAATTCCCTTGAGGTTGAGAAGAGAGGACTGTGTCACCTAGAACCACAGACCCATTTCTGATCTTACTAGGGAACAGTGAACGCTCCCTATTTCAGCCTGTGTCTTGTGAGTGTGGTCACCTCTAGTCAATGGTAAGAGGGATGGAAAGAGAGAAGAGAGGAACAAGGAGTGAGGAAAAAGCAGACTAGAGATGGAGAAAGAGGCAGATGGCGAGAGAGTGAATGGTTACTCCTGAGTCGTGGTTCCTTTCATTTGTCCAAGCTGCATTCTTGCTTACAAACATGTAAACAGCCTTTATTTCTTCCTTCCTTCTCTCCTTCCCCTCTCAACAGGAAGCTGCCACCAAAAACATCACAAGCCATTGGGCAGATCCTTCCCCCTTCTCTGGCACCAGAACAGTGCCTGAAGAAGGGCAATGGCCCACACCTGGGGCAGGAACGGAGCTCCGGAGAAACACCAGCACGTGGGGCTTGGAAGAGACAAGCATTCTGACTACTATTACACCACACACAAAGGCCAACAAGACAGTGCCCTACATGCAGGGACCGCAAGGACAGTGCTGGGAGACATATGTTGGCCAGGTGTTTCTTTCTGTCCCTTGGGAAGTCCCTTCAACACCTTCACGTGGCAACTCTCTGGGATATCACTGTTCCTTTTTCATAGAAAAGGAACATAGGCCGGGCGGTGGTGGCGCACGCCTTTAATCCCAGCACTCGGGAGGCAGAGCCAGGCGGATCTCTGTGAGTTCGAGGCCAGCCTGGTCTCCAAAGCGAGTTCCAGGAAAGGCGCAAAGCTACACAGAGAAACCCTGTCTCGAAAAAACCAAAAAAAAAAAAAAAAAAAAAAAGAAAAGAAAAGGAACATAGAATCCAGTGATGTTTTATTTTCTTATGTTTCAGGTCTCAAAATTAGTCATAGTAATCAGAGCAAAGTTACTGTGGAGTAGTAACTAAGAGAGGTCCTTGTAAGCTGCTGGCCTCAGCCTCCTAGGCACAGACAAGAAAACTGAGGCACACATGGTTAAGAACTTGTGTTTCAGAACCTCAGACCTTAGGGTCTTCCCAAGTTTTGTATAGTGTGGGCTTTGCCTTGGATCTTGTGACCCAAACTCAAAATAACAGATACCCTCCAAACAGCCATGATGTGGTAGAAGCCACCCCCTCTGCCACTGTGCAGTATAAAGATGTGAAGGGAAGACTTTAGGTGGCCCTGGCTCTGTCTCCAGGGAAGGGACAGAGACAGGGTGGACCAGGGAGGATTGTGGAGAAGACAGAGATGGGAGGACTGTGGGGGGCAGGGCATGGTGGCAGCAGAACCCAATGTGTTGCAGGAGATGCTAAAGCTGTCTGTCATTGACATGCTCTTCACGGTGGCCAGCATCCTCCTCATAGACTTCTTCCGAGGACTTTTCGTTCGCTACCTAAGTGACTATTGGTGTTGGGACCTTGAAAGCAAGTTTGTAAGTGAAATACTGCGTGCTTGGGGAGGGGTTTAGAACTAAAGCTACCTTTCACTGTTGGCTTGTCTAGGAATTAGTCGGGCATGTGTTATGTGACTTTTTCTGAGAGATCTACTTCTGTTCATCTCAAATAGAGGGAAACAGACTCAGAAGTGATTCCATTTGAGTGCAGCTCAGTGAACCCATGAGCTTCTTGGGGTTACTTACAAGGGCGTGAATGAAGGGTTACTTATAGCCAATGGGTGACTCAGGCAGCTACTTCACCAAAATGCCCACCCCAGCACGGGCAATGACAGCAAAGCTTGCTACATACCTTGCGGGCAGCTGCCCCCAAGAGTCTTTTGTCCCCTTCTTAACTGCTTGTATAGCCTAGGTGAGGAAGGCCTCCTGAGCCTTGGACATTTCCTGAGCCTCTACGTCTTGACTTTCCTGGGTCTTCTGACCCTCTTCCTTCAGGAGGGAATGCTTCCCTCCAGGAAAGAGCTACATAGGAGCATGGCCCAAGTGGGGCAGAGATACCTCAAAGGGAGTTCCTGAGGGAAGAGCAGAGGGCGTGCAAGGCTAGCTCTTGCCCCAGCTTTCTATTCCACCATTTGCTGGGGACCAGCAAGGCAGTGATCTCTGAGTATCTATAAGAGCAGAGAAGTCTGTGCAAGTGGCCGCAGTGAACCGCTGTGTGCAAAGGACTTCATGACTTTATTTTTAATGCAGATGCTTTTCTCTAACAGCCTGAGTATGGGGAATTCAAGATTGCTGAGAATGTGCTGCACCTAGTCTACAATCAAGGCATGATTTGGTAGGTCTCAAAGTCACTTCCCAGCTTGGCTTACGTCATCTGGGCTAAGGATTTGATGAGCCCAGATGGACCCATGACTACACACAGTCACAGTCACCATTAGGAAAGGATATTGACAAGGGACTGTTTCTCAGGGTAGGTGACTTTATTAGTGGCTTTATGAGGATTTTACAGAAAATAATTACAGAGGGGGTGGTTCCTTTTTAAACTACTTCTGGTCCCAGCCCCCAAACATCTGCATAGGAAGAGGTAGAGTCCCTCAGCTGGGAAAGGGGTGATCCAGGAAGAGGGACTTCTTGCCAGGAAGGTGTCAAGGACTGTGTGGTTACACTGGAACATTTCCCATCATTTCTTTCATGTAGACATGGGGGCCAGATGGAAGGCTATTTTTCAGGATAGCTGGCACATCCTAGGGGGTGTCCAAGACCCTGACAAGCCTCTTTGGCTGGGGTACTTCCAGCCAAGTAGACCCCGTTCCTAGGGGCACCAGGGCACTGGCAAGGGTCATCTTGTCATTCTTTCCTCAGTAGTGTGTCTATGTGTGGGGGCCTCCAGCTTTATCTGTGAGACCACAAATGGCACTGTAGGTCCAGATACTGTCAGCCAAAGAAAAAGAGGAAGCTTGGACAGTCTACACGTTCAGAACAACCGTCAGTCACAGAGCACACAGGGAACCCCATAGTATAAACAGAGGCACAAGGAGACATGCCTGCCAGAAGGAAGCAAACATTTATTCTTAAAACATTTTTATTTATTAAACTTCATTTTCTGGCCACTAAATCTGAATTCCACAGGGATCGGTTCAATTGCATAGCCAATACAAATTGATTTTGAACTAAAGCGGAGGTCCTGGGTTTTGTTGTGTACTTGACATTTGTACCTTGGCTAGATGCCCCAGTGTGTCTGGGATAGTCAAGTAGTTACTCCCAACTCACTTATTTTGCTCTTAAAAGTGTCCACATCTAGACATAGGGCCACATAATTGGCAACATGTCTTTGATCAAATTGATTAATTTTCCCAGATTTGCCTTCCCAATCTATTAACTTCGGTCGTCTCTCCTTCTTTTCACAATTCCAAAAGAATAAATAAGCTAACATATGCAAGGGTGCTGAGAACAACAGCCAACGAAAGTTGGGGGGGTGGTGCTTGACCCGTGTTGATTCAGTCTGAAACTCAGTAACTTATTAACTTAGTCCTTGCCCCAGAACTGCAAAGTCTAGAGTTTATTTAACCCAGGGCCTTGTTCTCCAGTATCTCCCCAGAGGAGGCCTTTCCCTTTGCTAAGCTAGGAGAAGAGAGACAAACACATCACCATTGCCCACCTGTAGGGACTCGCATACCTCTGGAATGTGGGGACTGTGTCTCAGAGTTTTCTTCAGTTCCTGACATGTACAGTGTAAATGTCATGGCTCAGACCCTTGCTCCCCCATGGGGCCTCTGGTATGCAGCCCTGAATGTGGACACACACAGACTGACTTGACCTTCTGCCATTTTAGGATGGGGGCCTTCTTCTCCCCATGTCTACCAGCCTTCAATGTTCTCAAGCTCATTGGGCTGATGTACCTGAGGAGCTGGGCTGTGCTGACCTGCAACGTACCCCACCAGCAAGTGTTTCGAGCCTCCAGGTTGGTAGCAGTAATGTCAGCCTTGGGCTGAGACCATATATCCTCTTCTGACCAGGGGCCTCCTAGCACAGTGCCTCTCAAAACCCTGCTTCCCTCCTCAGCCCCCTCCATGAAGTCACTGCCTACGCTTTCCTCCTGGAATCAGTCATCATCCCTTTGAAGCTCTTGGCACATGTTTTGTTTTTTTTTTTAAGTTTTTACTGATACCTAATAACCATTTGGAAAAAGTGCACAAGTTAGAAATATCAGGCTTGATCTTTCACAGACTGAACACAAAGATACAACCAACCAGCATCCACATAAAAACAGAACATGAGTGATCCCCAGAACACATCACTTCTGCTTCCCATCACCCCTGACTTCTACAGAGCTTGCCTGGTTTTGTTGTTTATGTTAAATGAGACATGCACAGAATGTGCTCTTTTGCGTTCGGGGTTGTTTGTTTGTTTGTTTGATTTTTGTTTTTCTTCACTCAACATTGTGTTTCTCTGCTTCCTGTTGCTGAGGAAACACACAGAACTGGCCTTCTGGTTTCTTTCTCTGCGCTGTGGCTACTTCCAGCTGCTGACTGTAGCGCCCAACACCCCTGAACATTCTGCTTTCGTCAGGAATACACCACAAAGTGTAATGCTGAGTTTTAGGGCAGGTACACATGAGTTTTCACAGTTGGTTAAAAGTTTGAATTGTTCTACAATCCTGACAAAGCTAATTCTTTCCTGCGTTTCATTTTAGCTACATGGGTGAATTCATAACACATTTTAAATCTCACGATGAGACCTCAGTTACAGTGCTTTGCCACAGTAGTTATCTGTGTGTCTGTCTTCTCTATTGGTGGCTATCAAACTATCAAACTTTTTAGCATGACCTGGATAGCAGTCTATTTATATTTTACCTGGTGACCAGTACACATTTGTGCTTATGTTTGGATATATGTGTTTTTATATATTTACATGTAGTTATTTAGTCTATAGTTCCCAAAGACCCCACAAAGGCAACCACATGTCAGCATGAACTGTGGAGGGTACAAGCATTAGCACCTACTTACCACAGTCCATGCAGGACTTCTGGTTAAATCTTTTTCATCGGAGAAGGAGAAAGGTGGGGAAACCAATGGACAGGGTAGTTGAACATCACTAGACTGATAAACTATATACAGGACCTCACATACCAAATTGGTCTGAGCTACCACTGGGACCGCTGAAGGCCCTGATACCAGCCTGGGACCATTCACTCTGAGCAGTAAGGAGCAGAGAAAGAAACTGAGAGCATATGTGATCCAAGCCGGATGGCTGAAGGTTACAAGCCATGGAGCCTTCCTCCTGAGACCTAAGGAGCACGCTCCAGGCTGGCAGCAGGCAGAAGGCACTCCACGTCAGTGCTCTAAGTTACACTGGTCAGTCAAAGAGAGAGAGAGACGCTGCAGGATGAATTCAGGCTTAGCCAAAGCAGCGGAGGAATCAGTCGCCATGGACTGGCTGACCAGGAGGTCTGCAGAAGCTCTTTTTATTGATGCACAAGAGGCCATTTAGCAAGTCAGTTCCCAAATACCGAAATCTCTTATCTGAACTAGGAGTTGTCTCAAGGAACCATTACTTAATCAAACACAGTCATAAGAGTTCCAGGTGTGCCAGGAAGGTCTTATGACTGAGATTATGGTAAGGTTCTGAAATTCCCAGGACAAAGCAACCCTATAAATCTCAGATAACAATCACTGATATTTATGAGATAATTCCAAGGCCTAAGTGGCCATCAGTCCAGAGTAAATGCCAGGTGCAATGGCCCAGTTAATATTCCACCACAATTAGGTAAGGCCCCAGATGAAGGACAGCAGTTCTAAGATTGCCGTATGTAGAGCTAGTTGGGAGGAAGCCCTGCACATGGGTGGAGTCGCTGCCTTCTTCCTTTACAGCTTAGTGCCCAGCCAGGGTTTGTAAAGAGAATTTGCTGGGCTGGAAGGTTTTTTTGAAAGTTGAGTTCGAGGTTTCTAAGCTGTGAAGCCCCTTAGATATGTGTGTGTGTGTGTGTGTGTGTGTGTGTGTGTGTGTGTGTGTGTGTATTTGTGTGCACACATGCCCCCACACTCAAGCACATGCTGGTCTGTGTATGTAAGCAAGTGCATGTGCACATGTGTGTGCACAGATGTGGAGACCAGAGCGTGATATCAGGCGTCTTTCTCAATTACTCTCTACCTTATGTTTTGCCGGTCTGGCCAGCCTGACTGGACAGTAAGCCCTAGGGACCCGCCTGTCTCTGCCTCCCCAGTGCTGGGATTTCAAGCCCCCAGCCTTTTTACACACAGGCTGGGGATCAGACTCAGGTCCTCATGCCTGGGCCACAAGCACTTCACCCACGGAGCCATCCAGGCCCCTGATGAGAGACTGGTCCCAACGACAGAGGTGCTGGCTGCTGCTGGGTGGGCTAGTAGGATGCACTCCTGCAGACCCTGGAATGAATGCTGCTGCATGATATTTGGTCTTTCTGCAGATCCAACAACTTCTACCTGGCAATGCTCCTATTCATGCTGTTCCTCTGCATGCTGCCGACCATCTTTGCCATTGTCCACTACAAGCCATCTCTGAACTGTGGCCCCTTCAGGTAATACACACAGAAAAAAAGCAAACAAGTAAATAAATAAATGAAGATAATATAATATTTTTAAGTAAGAGGGGGGAAAAAGAAGCCTGATATGGCTCATCACATCTCTAATACTAGTAGTACTTGGGAGGCTGAGGCAGGAGGATGGTCAAGAGTTTAAGGCCAGCCTGAGATACCCATAAGACTCTGTCTCAAAACTGGAAACATACATACAAGTAATAAACAGACTAGGCAGGTTGTACTTAGGTATTTAGGAATATGTGTATATGCACATATGACAATTAATGCAAAAAGGGACCATGTGTTTTAAAGAGAACCAAGAGGAGATCTATGATAGGGTTTGGAGGGAAAAAAGAAAAGGAGGAAATGATATAATTATACTATAATCTCAGGCATAAAAGAAAAGAAAGGAAGGAAGAGAAAAAGGAACCGCTGGCTACGTGGTTGAAGCCAGAAGCTTTACTTGAAGACAGTCCATGTCAGTTTTCAGTCTACAGTATCTCACTGTAACCATACAGAAATCTCAACTAGTCCCCACTGGGGGACTAGTCTAAGTCGGTTTTGACACACAAACCCCCGGAGGTGTCTTCATTGGCTCGTTAGAAAGCCGGTGTACTTGAGGAGTGATCGGCGGCCCCACCTCCAGTCCTGCCGGGTCACTAGATGACTCCTTCACAGAACTTCTGGGAACATTGGGCATCTTTGCCGTTGGGAGATTTGTCTCTAGCTTCTGTAGCTGGTTTTGGAGGTCCGCCTCCAGACACCCAAACATTTTTGATAGGTCTTGAATTATTCCATAGCCAGAAGCAGTTGAATCTGGAGTGCTCTTTTTCTTTCTCCCAGTGGACAAGAGAAGATCTATGACATCGTCTCAGAGACTATAGAGAATGACTTCCCCGCATGGTTTCACGTTGTGGTTGGACACATCAGCAGCCCTGTGGTGATACTTCCAGCCGTGCTGCTTCTGTTGTGAGTGCTACACCTCCCAGCCTGCAGGGGGCGCCACTCCAACCTACCTCCAGGGGAGACTGCAGCTCCCAGCCTCCAAAGGGTGTCATACCTCCCAGCCTCCAGGGGGCATCACTCCTCCCATCCAGAGGATGCCACACCCCTTACCCTTCAAGGACAGCTGTGTGTGTGGCCACATGCTCACACTGCTGTCCAATAGTTAAATAAAATTAGTCCATTCAGAAAGCACTTACAGGAGCTGATGATCTAAGCATGGACTCTGAGCCACCATGCCACAGAGAGACAGCTGCATAGGTACTGATTCCACCACAGCATCTGGTGGATTTCTGTGGCCACTATAATGTGACTGGATACTATTATTACCAGTATAGTATTCTGCAGAAATGTAGATACTTTTGAAATGTCACAATTCAGCTGAGTAGCTTCTGTTTATTAGTGCTTTCAGTACAAGAAAAAGAAGGGGGCAGGGGGTGTTGCACTTTCCCAGTGGCCACAGGCTGTGAGAAGCCAAGTACATTTTTGTTTGAGGTTCAGGGGTCAGTGGGTAGCCCACATCTGACCTGGGAACCCTCACTTCCACTGCCACCTGAGCAGGACCTGAAAGCTAAAGAGCCGGTTGAAGCCCACTCACTATTCCATGTCCTTCCATCCCAGCATGCTCATCTACTACCTTCAGAGCATCGCAAGATCACTGAAGCTCAGCAGCCAGCAACTCAGGATGCAGATCCAAAACGCAAGTATCACGTGAGCTCAGCTCTCATCCGTGACATCAACCCTGGCGGTATGCCTGCACCCTCCCCAGCACGAGAGTGCAAAGAAGCTCAAACCCTCGGGTTGTAGTGACACTTGGCCACGTATTATGGTCCAAAGTGGATGGATACCCTCAAAGTCCCCTCAAGTTATTTCTAAGACTATCCAGTGGTTGCTTCCATTGGCTGGGAGCAAGCTGGCTTGCTTGAACATCCTTTGTATGGCCACACCAGGTGTGCCAAGCACCTCATTGAAGAGCCACTCTTAATCTAACCTGGGTCAGCTTTGACCTTTGAACCCCTAGGGCTGTTTGTACCCCCAAACACTCTTCTCTCCTCTTTCTTATCCTTTAGATTTTGACTGGCGTAGACTCCTTTGCACCCGGGGTACATATCGTCTCCTAAAGTAACCAGGTTGAGGCAGGCACTCCCTGCCTTTCCATGACTGCTCCTCTGCATCCCCTCCCTCAGGGTCAGGAGGAGGCCAGGGAAGCACCCAGGGTACCAAATTCAAGAAGGCTTTCTCTGGGTCCAGTCTGCCCTGCCTTTCATAACACTGAGAGTCATGCTTCCTTAAGTGTGGCATCCTGGTCTCCTTCTTTGTCTCCCTGTACCCTTTTCACTAAGGAAAGAAAAAAAGAACTGCTCCCATAAATTCAAATTTATGTAAAGGGGTAACAGACTAGCTTTGTGAAATGTCAAGTTAGAAATCCATTTCCAGTTGCAGGGCGTTTTGCCCATGGATATTTCCCTAGTGGCTGATCTGTGTTTTCTTTGTGACTCAAGCCATTTCAGGCTGAGTCTCCCTAATCTAAAGATCTGAACTGCTTCGAGACCTGAAAGTCTCTGGTTGTCAACATGAGGCCATGAGTGGAAAATTCTACATCATGAAAATGTTTTGTGCACAAAATTATCAAAAATAATGTTCTATCAGATCACCTCCAGGCCCCATGTACTCAGTACAGGTGAAGTGAAAGGAATCTCATTTGAGACTTGGATCTCATCCCTAAAATAACCAGAATATGAAAAACTACAGGTCTCAAGTCCTTCAGATTCAGGATACTCTGCCTGCCTTGGCAGAATCTCACACACCCATGAATTAGTCGTCCTTACAGGAAACACATCATGTGTAAAACCTTGGCTCTTCCATGCTTGCGTTTATTCACTCAAATAGCAGATCCAGTTTCTATGACCATTCTGTTCTCATCGGTGCAATCATACCTAAGGTCTGAATAATAGCACATAAGTCTTCTCTCTCCCCAAACTAAAATGTGAACTGCCTTCTCTCACAGCTGAAGCAAACTGACTATCATTCACATTTCAGGCAAGAGCTGAAGATAAGAAAAAGGTTGCCCAAATGGTAGAGGGTAAGTGAATCTTAAAACACAAATGTCTACTCTCTAAGTTGATGGGCATTTTGAGAAAGGGCAGAAGGCCCACCACTGGTGAAGATTCCTTATCACTAGTGCTGGTTTTCACAAGTCACTGGGCACACGACAGTAAAACCAGGCCATCTACTGCTCTGGGCCCTTGATTTAATCATGCCCAGGCCTGGAACTAAGCCCCAAACCTCTGTAATCAGAAAGGGGCTTTGAAACAGGAGAGAAAACTCAGTGTGGTAAAGTGGAAAATGCTCAAGAACCTATTTGTCTGACCGCTTGGTGTGTGTCCTCTCAGGCACCCATCTCTTCCCACGGGAGCCCACATCCCAGGCCTCTGCTCCAGGCACCCACATTCCTACATTCTGTGCCCTCTGTCCTAGCCTCACCTAGTGATGCCACCCAGCCACTGAAGCAGATTCCAGAATAAATACCCAAAGCCACAGACTCTCCAAGGCCATACCTTCTTTCCTCCAATTCTCCAAACTCAGACCCATCATAAAGAAGAGAAAGCTATGGCCCAGAAGGAAGGAAAGTGTGGGAACAAGATTTGGTATGGCTAGAAGGCTAACTTCACGGTGGGGAGGGGGGTACAGATCAAAACAGAGGCAATGACTGCCCCTTAAGGCCACTAGTAGAGAGCACTGAGAGCCAGGATGCTGAGTGGGTACCACTGGGCTGGCACAGTCCACACTTAACCTGCCAGAGCATGAAAGAGAATGGGCTCAAATGTTACCATAAGCCAGTCCCTGTAACTATTTTAAGGTGAGCTATCTGGAAGAGAACTCTTAAAGGTCACACTCCATGCAGAGTCACCAGGTGACAATTTCACACACACAGGGTGACTGTGGCTTGTGCTATAAAGTCCACTGTAACTGTGAGAGAGGGCTTGCCAATTGAGAATATTGTTTAATCTAGGCAGAGCCCCCCAAAGTCAGGATCCACAGAGACTTTCTCGAATGGCCTGCCTTGCCTTAAGAGTATGAGATTGTACCTCACAGTCTTGAGGTACCTTGGGTTCCTCGATTTCTTGCTTAAGCTCCCTGAACACCATGTTTCAAATGGCTGAATGTGTGTTGCCTTGGGTCCACTGTTTTGGGGTGCACCTGACGACTGTAGATCCAGTTGTTATGAAAGTGCTGCAGCTAAATCAGCTTTGTGTCAGCCTGCTTTCTGTCGGGATAGCAAACACCTGACATCACTTTCTTATAAAGACAGAGAAGTCTCTTTTGGATCGCAGTTCCAGGTTCTAATCTGTGTTCCATCGGACCCATTGCTTAGGGAGGGAACATACCACCCTGCGAGTGTGTACCAAGCAAACCTGTTCACCTCACAGTTCGAAACAGAACAGGTTCTCACAATCCCCTGAGAGCACATGACCCCTAAGGCCAGAGTACTTACCACCACTTAAAGGCTGCACCTCTCCCCAAGAGTGCCAGCTTAGGGACTAGATCTTAGCATGAGGGCCTTGCGGGAGATTTAAGGTTCAAAGCATAGACAGCAAACCTGGACTTGTCACCTGTTCTTCCCTCCACCTGCAGCTCGAATCCAGACCCACGAAGAGAGCACCAAGAGACTTCTAAAGGATGGTGACCTCATCAGCCAGCTGTCCTCAGCATTCATGGCAACACCCCAAAACAACGGCAACATGGTCAACTTTGACTCGCTGAGTAGCAAGAGCCTCAGGATGGAGACGGTCACAAGGTCCCTGCCCCAGAGTCCTGGGCAAGGGTCCAGGGGCCTCTGCTCTCCTCTTCCAGGTGGATCTAGATCAAAGCCAGAGCAGGATGCCAGTAGGTGAGGGTGAACTCTGACACAGAAAGTAAACAGACTTCTTGAGTGTGGTACCAGTGGCAGACCAGAAGAGCTATCAAGAAGCTGGGGCCGTTGAATTCCAGATCTGACAGAAGGAGTCAGGGGGCAGGGACTGCTGGGATGCTGAGGATGTGGGAAATGGTGCGGGGTGGAGGTGGGGAAATCAAGACTTTTCAAACCTTACATTATCATATCATCCATTAAAAACCCTTTCTCGAAGCCTAGTATACATATTTTCTGTAGCCTAAGGAAATAAGCTGTCTTTTTAACAGTCATGTCCCAAGTCAGGATTTGGGGGTGCAGAAGCAGAAGGCACACCATCACCCTCAGTAGCCTCAAGATTTTCCCAAGAGTTTTTGTTTTTTGTTTTTGATTTTGTTTGTTTGTTTGTTTTTTTGAGACAGGGTTTCTTTGTGTAGTTTTGGTGCCTGTCCTGGATCTTGCACTGTAGACCAGGCTGGGCTCGAACTCACAGAGATCCACCTGGTTCTGTCTCCTGAGTGCTGGGATCAAAGGCGTGCACCACCACCGCCCCAGCTTTCCCCAAGAGTTTTAAGGACCTGCTTCAGGCTAAACTAGGACCCATGGCTTCCACCCAGGGAAGCATTTCAGGACTAGCCAGTTTATTGAAGTAGAGTTGAGGTTAATAAAGGCATTTTAACTCAGGCTTAAGCAGGAGGCTTAAGTGAAAGAGAGGTACACTCTGAAGGAAAACTAAGATGCTCTGGAGAGCATGGATGTGGGCTCCTCGTAGTTTTGGCTTTGCTGTTGTTGTTTGTCGCAATAGGGGTTGAAGTTGTTGCATGCAGAGGGTTCTGATGAAATGTAAATGAGAGTCCTAAGGCTGCACCTGGCAGGATTGCAATTCTTCAGGAGAAAATGTGTGGCTCTCAGGGTCACAGGAAGTCAGGGTATCTATCGTCACTGGAAACAAAGTGAGCAGGCTTGTTTGAGGTTCTCAGGCCTTGTCTGGGGAAAGGAACGACCCTACCCAAAGTCATATACATTCAGGCCTTAATCCTGGTTCCTAACTACACATAAAAGATCTATGTATGAGGGCAATATGAACCCCGTGTCCCAGCCCTCAGAGCCAGTGTTGAGTGTGCTGGATTCCTGCTTCTCAGCTGATGAGAGGCTCCCATTACACCCTAGGGTCATGCGCGCCTTCCTCTCTCCCATGTCCCATAGCTTCCCCATCTTTCTGTTCAGCCTCACTCATTACGTCTTCAGTTCCAGAATGGCTGTATTAACGGTAAACGGTCTCTGCTTCGCATGAGACTGATCAAGTTATTGGCAAGCTCTTCAATGCATTTCTATATGGGCCAACTGCTTCAGTGTCCTCTTCAAGAAAGCAGGAGAATCCAGCTTCCTTTAGTGTTTGTACAGCACCCAGAAGAATGAGGGGACAGAGCTATGCCGGCCCAAAATCATGGCCAGAATTATATTCATTTGTAGCACAGTGGATACCATAGAGATAAATATAATTTTTCTTTTTCCTTTCTTCAAGTTATCACAGAACTTGAGGTTCTGTTCTAAGCAAGTTGTCTTCATATCCTTGTAGTACCTTGACAAGTAGTAGGGGACCTAAGTCCTTCTTGGGAGGTCACGGGGGCGGGGGGGGGGGGGGAGGGCGGGGGGGGGGCGGGGGGGGACGGGGGAGGTGTGTCAAACCACAGTCACTAGTCCTTGGGGGCAGGTATAGCTCCCCCAGTGGACACTTAAGGAAGTGCCTGAGAAGCTGGAGGGCAGTTTAGGCACTAGAGCAGTATTCCGAACATGCATTCCACAAACACTGGTCCCATGAAATGCCCCTAACAGAACCAGTGCTCTCTGATGGGATATGTGGATGAGGCACACCTTGCCATGCAACCCCATGGACAGTGGCACCCCTTGTTGTATCAGGGCTCTAAGATTTCCAGTGTGGTCCCACTCCCTGAGTGCACCCACAGATCACCAACAGACGCTCTGGAATTCTTGGAGATGTGGCAGGAGACAGAGGCTATAACTACTTAACCATTTCTGCCTTACAGGTATCCACATGGGCCATGTGCCAGCACAGGCAACCTCCACAAGAACAGATCCTACGCATCTGTGACACAGACACAGCCCCTCAAGGATGTTCGCTCAGAGCCTCTTTCCCGAAAAGACTTTCAGCCAATCAGGCCTCGTTTCTGTGGACCCAGGGTCTCTGCCTTGATGACGCCTGGCCACAGACTCCGTGCTCCCAGATACTATGTTGTGAATGAACGTGACTGTCACAAAAAGACCCACCCAACTTTCTGGCCAGAAAGACATTTCAAGATAGATGCTTTAGGTGACATTGTAGAGCTGTACCCCAGGAATGTGCAGCAGTATGTGTCCTGGGCCCCCCACCAGCCTTGCTCACCACAACTGAGTGAAGAAGAGGAGGAGATGCTGAGGACAGATTTGGTCCAATGGTCCATCCCCCCTGGCTCCCTGACGGACCTCCCTCGGCCTCCTCGTTTTTACATGGGTGACAGATCAGAAAGTGACACCAGAGACCCTGAGTACCAGCGAAGGATGTACTACAGATCTGGGGACAACAGTTTTGAGGGCCAGCCTGAGAGGCCCACATTTGTTCACAAAAAGCCACGATCCAGGAATGTCCAGTACCCGCAGCATCCTCCGAAACCCAGGGTCAAAACCAAGTTCGAGCCATCCTTCACGGAATCTGATTCTGTATCAGCGGCATCCAGCAGCGACCAGCAGAACAGCAACAATGACCAACACCTGCAGGTCATGTCCAGCCAGGGCAGATTCCCGGGGTCTGCCAGCCAGCTGGGCAGGAGGAAGGCAAAGTCCAAGCAGGCACTGCCCACAGATCTGAATGACCTAATTTGTTCAAATGTCTAAGCTTCTTTCAATTCCCTTCCTAAAGACTGGACATCTTTGGAAGAGTTGGGAGCACACAGTCCCACCCTTTCTGGAAGAGAAACCAGCTCTGGGGATGTTAGAGATCTGTGGAGCTTTTTCAGGCTTATGTGCCACTGCTGTCTGAGGCTCTGAGACCCTGGGGCTGTCACTTCCCATTCACAGCAATGGTGTGTGAGTGGCAATTCCTGGTGTTTCCTTATGCCCAGCACATACATCACCACATCAGGCTGTCCTTTCAAGAAAACATCAGGCCTTTGATAACATTCAGGGTGGCTGGCCATGCGCACCAGCAAGCTAGACATCTCATCAGGACTGCAAACACCAACCTCGACACTCTGTTTATCTTCAATGATATGAGTGAGTGCTTTGCACTGTGGTATTTGAACATACAAGTATCGAAACTCTGTAGTGAGCACCCAAACTCAGGCAGCCACCCTTGAGAGTTCACAGTATTTAGTTTATGAGGACTAATATATCAGTTTAGTAGTGGCCACTGTAGTGCACTGCAATCTTATTTAACTCTGTATTAATCAGGACACAGATTAGACATGACCCCAAATTTACACCTGGGGTTTCCTGGTTCACTTCACTGAGAAGGATGGGGACTGAGACTCAGTACCATGTTCAGCTGGAACCAAGGCTCAAACATCCCCAAGAACACCTGTCTTCTCAGCTCTTGGCTGTTTCCGTGTTTGCTGACCTTGTTCTCTCCCACGGCCAATAGTCCTCCAGGTAGGAGGTGAAGAATTCACAGCCACAGAGACGCCAGGCTTCTAGCCTCCACGCAACAGGCCCAAAGGAAAGGAGCAGCGCGGACATTACCTGCTTCCCACTGTGTCTGCTCTCAAGAAGTGGTTCTCTGGATCCTCTGGCTGGCCTTGTGCAGGGCTTGGCAGCTCTGCATGCTCTACCCCATGGTAACCAGCTTTTTAGAAGCTCTGACTTCTAACATTTCTGTCTCCTCTACTATACTCTTGAGTGTCTTTGGAATGAAAATGGCACCATGGTTCGACAGTCCCAGTAACGGACAGACAATAGATACCACATGTGTTTTCCAGCACTGTCTCATTGGAATAACAGTGGGGACTCTCCCAAGATTGAAATTCTCTGGAAACAGAGAGCATCGCATTGGCGATACAATAGCATTGTAAGCCATGGGCATATGCAAAATCTGGAGCAAGGAAAAGGTTTCACAAGCAAATGAACTTTGCATCAGCTGTTTCAGTCAACTCCCTGCGTCGGCAAGATCAACAGAAAGGGTGGCACCAGCCCAAGGTCAGAGGGGTGTCCTTGCAGAGGTACTGTCTGTACAAATTGGGGTGGCCTTAGTGCCAGGTTGTGGTCCGGCCAAATTTTGCGGTCATCGTCTGTTATCCGGAGCACATGCACCAATCTTCCCACTTAACAAGCCCCATGCTTCATTTACTTTCTTGTCAGGGCTCGGACACAAGCAACCCCATCTTGATTTTTCTGATTTTCACCCCACAATACCAAACTGAGTGGCTTCCTAGGGTGCACACTCACCACCCTGCGGTTCCCATGGCTTAGGAGCGCAGACACAGCTGAGTCTCATCAGACAGCAGCTGAGGCATCAGCAAGAACTGACATCTCATCAAAGATCCCAGGCCCTCTCCCAGTCTCATGTGGCTCTTGGTCAAATGTCCAGGCCTTGAGGTTCTAGAGGCTTCCTGCATGTCCCGGCTGCACAACACTCTACACGGCATGCCTGGTGGACCTTCACTGGCAACTGAGTGTGGCTATTTGGCTTTCAGTCCCTTTTGGCAGGGAAGACATGGGCCCTCTTTCAATAAGTCCCTTGAGTAGGCCAGGGCCACCCAGAAAACCCTTCCTTCTGATTCCTAAAAGTTGGCTCATGGGAGATCTTAATTACAACATCAAAATCATTTCACCTTTACTGTATATCATAACCCAGCCATGGGGCGAAATTCCATACTATTCAGGACATTCCACAAGCCATCCATTCCCTGGAAGCAGGAATCCTGGAGGTCTGCACAAATGCTTAATACCTAGCTAGATGTAAATGGATGGATGAATTAATGAATAGACCATACTAATAACTGAATCACATATGACAAGGCAGCTGGATTAGAGGCCAAGATAACTCCCAATTCTAACCAGGAAAGTTTGTATAAATATTGCTGTTTGTAAAGTCCACACAGATAATCCCCCTCACAGAACTCCTGAGGAGGAGTGCACAGGTTTTCAAATGCTATGCCATGCTGCCTCTAGGGTCGATGGTCCAGACTTAGTGTTCTGCAGTGTCTGGGATGTCCTTCAGTGACAGAGGTACCCACAGCAGTGTCATAGTGAGGAGGCCTCCTACCCCAGATTCTGGGGTTAGGGCTGAGACTAGAGTTCCCTGGGACATGGAATTAGGTTAGGAAAATCAGACCTACCTCCAGACACCTGCAGGAGCAGCAGCTTGTGTGGCAAGGGGAGGAGGGAACATGAGCAGACCTTGGAGCATACCAAGGAAACAGAGTCATCTAGTCACATACTCAGGGCTGAAGTGTGAGTTCAGAGCAGGCGTATAAGGCTCCTTGTATGGGGTGATTCCCACTTAGAGAACTTTAGGACACACAATAATACAAAAGTGAGTGTGATGAGCACCCATATTCCCCTTGTAAGGGTCATCAATGGTTTGTATTTTGTTTCCATGGAGTCTTTTAGTCTTAGAAATAAAGAAAACACTATAGAGCTGACTTGGAAGACTGATGCAGGAGGCCTGAACCACAAGTTCAAGGTCAGCCTGAGCTACATGGTGCCAGGCTAACTTGGACTGCACAAGAATACTCAGGAGAGGGGCGGTGGGAAAAGAGAGAGAAAAAATCAGATTATTCTTTAGCCTCACACTAGAAGTTTTTCCTTTCACACTTCATGAACTCAGTGTATATCCAATCAGTAGACTGTCATATTTATAGACATTGTATGTGTGAATATATGTATATAAGCATCTATAAGCAATATATCTCTTAAGTCAATGCTATTATCCTAGATCTATCACTATATTTATTTGTATTTTGAAATCTATTATAGAAATAAGCACAGATGAAACTCCCTATGACATATGTTTAGCATTTCATTATTTGGATAAACTACCTAACATCTCTTCCTTTTCTTCACAAAGGGTATTGAAATAATTTCTGTATCTTCCCTATTAAAAAGGTATAATAAACTGCTTCTGTATATTTTCTTTGAATTTATTAGTCTATAAAGAGAAACCTGAGCTTGTTGGAGACAATCATATCATGCTTTCCCAGTTTCCTCTTTATTATTTCTGTGTAAGCCCAGATGTTGCATCCCCTACCTTGGCAGATGGCTGGAATGTTTTCTTCCAGTCTCACCGAAGACTTGCTCTTGCCACATTATGTAATTTCTGTCCATCTGATGAAAAAAAAAATCAATCATGGGGTTTGAATTACTCCGCTCTTTTTCCTTCTTCCTGTCTCTGCTTGAGCTGTCGGGTGATTCACCTCTGGACACTTCAGCTCACTCTCCTGCTGCACCCCCATCATCACTGTGAAAGGGCTTCCATGAAGCTCCTAACAAATGCTGATCACTCACCTCCCTCCACTTCGGGGATACCAGCCCTTATCTAGGCTTTATTTAGAACAGAAAGCTACCATGCTGCCTTATCAAGCTTGCTTTGCATAACTGTGGTTTCACAAGATGCCTGTGTAGTTTAGTAATGGCCCATGGCAAGGAAGATTGTCTGCTTTCTCACCCTGTCATCAAACCTATTGGTAGCATAATCCACTGGATTATTCCAAGTCTGGGGTCTGAAGGAATGAATACCTTAGTGGTTAAAAGAGCATACCCTCTAGTAGACACCGGAACTGACTTTCATTCCCAGCACCCGTATTGGAAGGCTTACAATTGCCTATAACTCTACTTCCATGGGATCCAGTGCCCTCTTCTGGCCTCCTTGAACACTGTGTTCATGTGTATATGTACACACACACACACACACACACACACACACACACACACACACACACTTAAAAATAAAATGAATCTTTAAAAACCTCTATCCTAAAAATTACTACATAGTAAATGTGCTTTCCCCTTTTTATTTGTCTGTCTGTCTGTTTGTTGTTTGTAAGTGATTGGTTTCTTTTATCTTTTCCCAGTCCCTGGAGCCACTGGTCTCTACCTCAGTGTGCTATGACTAGATGACTAGATGCTAAATGACTCAATCCAGGTAAAATACGTGTGTAGGGCAGCAGCTGGCATGCAGTAAACTTGAGCAAACAGACACTGTTGCTAAGGGAAAAACAAGTGGGCAGCTCCATGTTTACTTACTAGACTCACGGTGTCCTGAGCTAACGCAATAAATACTTTGTGGCACCCCTGCCTTGAACACCTATCTCAAAGTCAGCTAGGGGTCCTGTGGGGTCTGCCAGGGAACCTGGTGGCCTGAGAGGCTAGGACCTTGTGGGAGGGCACTAACCAATAAACCTGCAGAGCTCAGTTCTTCCTCTTCCCAGTCAGCGCTCAACTGCAGCCCCAGCAGACTTCAAAGGAGCGCCTGTCTGTGCCCCTCGGAGTGGTGTGTGGGCACTAGCTCCTCTCTGCTCCAGCTGGTTGCTTTTCCTCCCCTGGGCCTGTCTCCAGCCACAAAACAGATGGAGCAACTCCAGGCTACCTCGGATCTCAGTTTCCTTCTACAGGAGTTTGTCACAGGCCTTGGGTATAAAATTTGCTTCTCTAAAGATTTTGTCTACCCAGGACCTCCCATTTTTTGGAGAGCAAGGATCAAAGTTAATTGGAATTGACTTTGGTTTTGGTTTTGGAGGGTCTGGAGAAAAGGCTTAGCGGTTAAGAGCACATCCTACTGTTGCAGAGGACCCAAGTCCAGTTCCCTCGCACCTGACTGTGTTGGTTAGCTCACAACCAGTTGTAACTCCAACTCTGGGGTATCTTATACCATCTTCTGGCTTCTGTGGGCATCGATACATACATACACATATGCCCATGTAGACACACACATACACACACATATAAATAAAAGTAACATTTTTGTAGAAAAAAAAAACTGCCCACTGCACTCCGGGCATAGCCATCTCTTGGATATTGATAGCTACTAAAAGTCGTTTTCTAGAGCAACATTGGCTTTCCTGGACTGGTCCGTAGCTTAGCGGTAGAGCATTTACCTCACATGCCTGAGTCTGTATCCAGCATAAAGAAAATAAAAGGCAAGACTTACTTTCCTTCACTTTTGTTCTCATATTGTTGAGGTTAACCAAAATTCTAATAGGCCCCAGCCTGACTCTCGAGTCAGCTAGAGTCACAGAACTTTATAGAAATACATTATATTGAATTGTAATTAGACATTGTGGTGGTTTGAAAGAAGATGGCCCTGAAAGGGAACAGCACTATTAGGAGGTGTGGCCTTGTTGGAGGAAGTGTGTCACTGTGGGGGCAGGCTTTGAGGTATCTTTTTCTCAAGCTTCCCTCAGTGTGTCAGTCAACTTCCTGTTGCCTGCAAGATGCAGCGCTCTCAGCTGCCTGCACACTACCATGCTCCCTGCCATGATGATAATGGACTGAACCCCTGAAACTGTAAGCGAGCCCCTCAATTAAATGTTTTCTTTATAAGAGTTGCCATGGTCATGGTGTCTCTTCACAGCAATAGTAAACCCTAACTAAGACAGACATTTAAAAATTAAAAAAAAGTTAGTAAATGAAATAATGAGGCAGCATGTGATGATATAAAATGAAAAGGGAGTGTCTAGCTGACTTTACACCGTTCTAAGATCACACCTTACCTGACTGGAACTTTCTGAGCACTGAAACATATAAACATCCCTAGCATGCAGTGCCTCATGGGGGATAAACATCCTGAGAGAGGTGTCATGAAGTGATTTTGTCACTGTGTGAACATCATAGTGTGTTCTTATGAGGGGCAAAGGGTCTACAATGTCATTGGTCGATATCATCTTACAGGACAAGCGTTGTTCATACTGCCTATGATTGACCAAAATGACATCCTTATGTGGTACACAGCTATCTATAAACATTAGCAAACTCACACACATGTGCATATATACACACACATACACACAAGTACACACATACCACTTTCTTACTCAAGACATATTTGTACTTAATTGAACTTAGATATGTTATAGTGTGTGAATGTTTACTGCACATCAAATGCCATTCTGATTACTATTTACTATTAAGCCATTTGACCTGTGTTTCAGCTGCTAGTACTATTACTATTTCACTTTTTTTTTGTTTGTTTGTTTTTTTGTTTTTCAAGACAGGGTTTCTCTGTGTAGCTTTGCACCTTTCCTGGAACTCACTTGGTAGCCCAGGCTGGCCTGGAACTCACAGAGATCCACCTGGCTATTTCACTTTTCAAATGAAAAAAAAAAAAGAGAAAATTTTAAGGTCTGGAATGGCTACTCATTTTCCAACAATGCTATACACTTGCCAACACAATGTGTGACCTGAGTGATCTGATGAGTGCTGGCTTTATCTTTTTTTATTATTTTTATATTTTAAATTTTTTGAGTGCTGGAAATGCAACCCACGACCTTGAGCATGGTATGCAAATATTGTATGGCTTAGCTGTACCCACCTGCCCAAAGGCTGGCTGGCTGGCTGGCTTGCTTGCTTTCTCTCCATAGGGTCACACTCCGTAGCCCTGCCTAGCCTGGAACTCAATATGTACATCAAGTGAGCATCAGAATTGGGTAATTCTCCTTCCTCTGCCTCCTGAGTGCTCAGAATACAGACATGTGCTGCCATGCTGGGCTTCGAAGCACAGGCCTTTGTATTCACAACACTGTTACCATTCACCTTGTATTTTTGACTTGTTTATGTGATGTAACATATGACCATCTTTCCCTTTCATTCTTAAACAGAGATCACATTTGGAGAAAGATAAGAACTTACAATACATTCAGTTAAGCTTTACACTCTATCCACGTCCTCCAAACAGCAAATGGTTGTTGAGGAGAAGGGCTGCCTCCTATCAAGGCACGTTAGAGTTAGACTCAGTCTGGAACTCTGCTCCTCCGCTCTCTTGAGCAATCCTCTTTGGCGCCAACCTCAGTTCCATCAGCTGTGTTATATGAGTTTAATGGTTACACAATATCCTACATAATGGGTATCTTGTAACTTTGCTTAATGCTTTGACAAATAAGTTAGTTTCCATTACAAGGGCACTCTTCTGTGCCTCTGTGCGGGTGAGGTTGTTGGGTTAAAGAGGAAATACAAACAACTGTTAATATGTATCACTGCTTTGTTTGCAAAATGTTGCATCCTTGTATGCTGTCACCCATGGTCAGGAAAATTCCTTTCTCCAGTCCTGTTCCTAACACCGTGAACTAACAAATCTTGTCCTGTTGGTCTGCTAGATGGGTCTCCTTATTGAATTTGTAATTCTCTGTGACCAGGGTTTCTACATGTTTTGTGTCATGGTTGTTTATTTGTGACAACAAAGCATCTTCCCATGTATGATACTTTCTTTTTGTATTAAATTTGCTAGACATGTCTCAATGATTTAAAGCCATGTTTTTTTACAGCCAAACATCTTACTTTTAGTTAAAAATGTATCTCAATTTTATCTCTGATTATTATCTTTTATGATTTTATGTGCTTAATTTTTAAAGCACAACAAAGTGAACCATCTATTTTATGACTCCTAGAATAATGCACGTGTGTGGCTTCATGTACTCTTCACAGTAGCACATGTTATTATAACATTTCACCTTGGAGCAAACTGCTATTCAAAGATGTTAAGAGACCTACCTGCCTTCCCAAACCCACACAGTCAATAATACTGGGTCTGGCCCTCAAGGTGCCTGGATTCCTCACCCAGCCAGACAGTCCCTCACTTCTTCCAAAAGGGACTTTCAAGCCACATAACTGCCTACATTACCTCCCTAACCTTTGAGGAAAACAGTGAACTAGTTTCAAACAATTCAGTTGGAGATAGGCTTGAAGAGGAGGAAACCTGGGCTGCTGTTACGGAGGGGATGGCATTCCACACTCTCCCACTGGCCTGGCTACCTCTCTGTCCAGAGGTTACTGATAACACTCTGATCTGCTTATCATTTATTTATTTGATGATTCTGGGATTGAACTCAGGTCCTAGCACATGCTAGGTAAGCATGCTACTACTTCACTTTGTCGCCAGACCTCTTTTTTACTTTGAGATGAGGGTCTCATTAAATTGCCCAGGCAGACCTTTAATACCTGATCTTCCTGTTTCCATCTCCGGAATCTGGATTAAATTTCTCAAGGGAAAGCCAGGGTCTCCCCCTGGTGCCAATACACGGCACTTGCCTGTTGGATGTGTACGTCTACTTAGAGCTCCCTGGGCATCTGGAACTAAATAGATCCGACATTGGTTTCAGCATTTTCCCCAACTAAAACCCCATCCCTTCCAAGTTGTCTCTTCCTCTACTCAGCCAAAGCACCAGCTAGTCAAGCCCAAAAGGTGGGAATCGCGGCGCTTCCACAGGCTTCAGCCTCTACTGTCAGAGGCAGACCTCCCTGAGCCGACCTCCTGAACAGTCACAGGTGAGTCGCTCTCCTGCCTGTCTCCACGGCCAGCTCCTCCACATCTCCGGGGCTACCCCGTAGAATGCCACCCCCCGCCCCCGGGAAGTTGTTTGCTATGAAAACTGCATGGTCTCAGTGGAGGCCAAAAGCCTCTGAGCACCCAGGGAAAACACACCACTCCATACTCCAGCCTGTGAGTCGTTCCTGGTCCTCCTCAGAGCCCGCAGATGCCGCGCAGGGTTCCCGAGACCCGCCCAGAGAAGACGCCTACCGCAGGGCCGGACTCTATCTCCCGACCTGCCAATTTCCAGGAGGGGCGGAATTGTCTGAGAGCAAAGACCAATTCTGAGAGTGGGGGGGCGGAGCCCAGGGGCGGGGCTCCAGGCTCCGCCCAAGGCCCGGTTTTCCGCCTAGCAGAACCGGTGCTGCACAGCTGGGTCCCTGCACGCCGGCGCAATGGACGTGTCGTGGGCCACGCAAGAGAGTGAGGCGGTGGCGGAGAAGGTGCTCCGGTACCGGCGGGACGAGTCCGGCTGGAAGAAGTGCCGGGAAGGCGTGAGTGAGGGACTAGGCGGGAAAGGGGGTCTGGAGACTGCTCCGTGGGACTGGAGTCCTCCAAGCTCCTAGGCTTCTCCTCTCCCTGGGATTTTCTGCACCGCAGACCCCGGAGGAGGATTGAGAGAGCTATTCCACCGAGGGTGGCTGCTCTCTGGGACTCCTGGAAACTCCTACACCTTTCAATGAGAAGCACACTCAAGGTCACCTGACTGGTATGAGGTTAGGATTGGACCTGAAACTCCAGCTGCCAAGTCTTTCCTCCTTACATTATAATACAATCCCTTCTAGGAAGTGCCAGGGAAACAAGTTTTCTTCCTTGACGCTTCTGATTTTATTTAAACAAATACTCCTAAATTGCTTAAGGAAACAAAAGTTCTTGGTGGCGTTTAAGGCGATTGGAGAACCTCCCACAACTCCTGGAGTCAGCCAGCCAGCCAAGATCTCTTTGCTCATCACCTGCTGTGGGGGGCAGCTACATCCATGACGAATCCCAGCTGTGCCAGGAACGGGTTGGGTGACCTTGGAGAATCATGTCTTGAGATCTCATCTCCAAGACTTCCTCTAGCTCTAAAATTCTACGATTCTGTGCCTTTTGACAGAATGGAGTTTCAGTTTCCTGGAGGCCATCTGAGGAGTTTCCAGGGAATCTGTAAGTGCACACTTCTGACAAAGCTTGTCAGAGCCTCCACTCCTTCCTGGTTTCTCTGGGGTTACCTCATGAAAGATTCAAACCCACCTTGGCCCTCTGTGATTACCAGTCATCTTCCAGAAAAGCATTAGGTTGTGTTTTGAATTGTTTCTAGCAAGCTGAGTTTGATGAGGGCTTAGTACCTGTTTGTGCAGCCTGGAGGGGAGGTGGGCTAGCATATTTTAGCTCCTTTTTTGTCAGCCAGCCCTAGAACTAGGACAGACATGTAATAGACTTGAGGTAAAATCCTAAGATAAATGAATTTAATTGATGCCTTGGGTCACATTCCTCTCTATGTTCCAGGTACCGAGGAGAAGGGGTTCTGTGTGGGACACCGGCAGAGGTGTGGGATTGCATAAAGCCAGTTGCCGGAGGCCTCCGGGAGAAGTGGGACGACAACGTGACCAGCTTTGAAATTGTCCAAAGCATCACGGATGTAAGTTTCTCTGGGTGCGTTATCTGTAGTATCTTGTCCTGCCGCAGTACCCTGACCCTATCTCCTCCGAAGAGGAATCTGTAACACCTATAGGCAAGAGGAGTGCCCTACATACCATCCCAGCCTTGGCCCTCCGGAAAGAGTGTGACTCTGAGAGGCCAGAAACCCTCAGCAGAGCCAGGGGGCTATAGATGAGGAAATCCCGGGCAAGTCTGGGCTCCCCCAATACTGAGGCAGGCCTGGATTTAGACCACCAGATCTAGTTTGAAGCCTTGTCCCTAGACAGAGCCATTTCAGTCCTTTACCCATGGTAGGACCACTGTAAGCGGCCACTTCTGGGTTGCAGTGTCTCCTTTAAGAGTGTGTGCCTGCACACCAGCCCTGCCCGTCGGGAAGCCTTGCTATATGGCAGCATTGTTCTGCAACTGCCTTGTCTAGTGTGGGAGCCTCAAGTTCCCGTGGGGCCACAGAGCATGAAAAGGTGGCTGGTTTGAGGAAATGAATTATTCATTTTAACAAATCTAAATGGAAATTTAAATAGCCACATGAGCTAGGGGCTGTTACAGGAGACAGCTCCAGTCTTGATGAGCCTACCCTGGCGTCATCTATCACTTTAAGATTTTGTTTCATTTCGATCATAGAGGCTCCGAAGAATAGGAAATCATGGTGAAAATACACACACAAGCAACCCTGGGGAAGCCGACCTGTGTGATTTGAATGGCATCTTAGTATTGCTGTCTAGGACCTCTCTGGCATTGGCTGGGGCTTACATAAGCAGGGAGCATTGTGAAACCTCACAGTGTTTTGCAGCTGGCCAAGCTGTGGCTCCAGGTGTCTTTGTCCTGACCTCATTTCAGTTCAGTCTGTTCGTGGGAGTTTTTTTGTCAGGGTTGTCTGAAGGATGGGGCAGTAATTTGCAGTTGCCTTTGACTTATGACAAATGGCTCGTTCTTTCTTCTTTCTTTCTCTTTTCATTTCTAAGAGTGAAATAGCTTCCTTTAGAACCATAATAAATAGGTAAGATTTTTCCTGTTCTGGTTTAAGTGACACCAGCCCAAGAAAAGAAGAGAATGCAGTGAGAGAATGCAAAGTATTGTGCACAAATGGGTAAAGTTGAGCAACCCTTGCTTAATGCCTTTTGTGTATAATACAAATGCCATAACAGAAGGACTTGCATATATGTGGGGGGGGGGTGTACATGTGTGTATGCATGCATGTTTATGTGTGTATGGAGCCCCAAAAAGTGTCTCCCACAGTCATTCTCCACTTTATACACTGAGGCAGAATCTCCTGCTGAATCTGGAGCTTGCAGTTCTAGCCAGCTTGTGCCAGGGACTCCCTGCCTCTATCTCCCTTCTGGGATTACAGCCTAACTACCACTGCTATCCAGCTTGTATGTGGGTTCTAGGGAATCTAAGTTCCAGTCCTCACGCTTGCACAGCAACATTACCCACTGCACACCGTCTTTTGGAGTCAACAGTAGCCCCATCTTTTCAGCATATTCACACCTCTCGGTCTCGGTACAGTGGCTGGTGGGACTAAGAGAATGAAGGGCTAGGAAAGCCATAGGCTGACAGCTGAGCAGCCATAATGATGGTTAACCCGTCGTCGGTGCTGTCAAGTTATTGGGTGTCTATTCCTGGCTACAAGCTCCCATCCTGAGCCCCAGGGGAAGGGAACGATCTGACTGAGGTAAGGCGAAGTTGCCAAGTGCACACAAGTAAAGGAGCCAAGCAAGAGTTGGCTCCCAACTGTCACAGTGCCACCTCTCAAAGGGAACCAAAATGACTTTCTGACTCTTCCCCTTCACCTCAGCTCCAGATCTGGGTCCCAGTGGTGTTATCTCTCAGCTCCTTCCCCGGGGGATGTTTTTCTTTTCTCTAGCACTGCTTTCTAGGCACCTCAAGCTCCCAGCACACCTGGCACGCACGCGCACGCACGCACGCACCCACGCACGCAGCACGCAGAGTTCTCCTCAGTGCGTGTAGCTGTTTCCTTCTTTGTCACCTCCCCAGCATGGCTGAATGGTTGGTGCTAGCGGGGCTTTCGGGCTCCTCTGGGGACCCTGACTTGTCCCTGGCTATGCTGTGTCCCTGTATGGGACTGATGCTGCAGACAACTCAGAGCCCCTCATCCTGGTGCGTCCATTTCCCTCAAGGCTGGCTGGGCCAATGTCAGTCCTCAGCAGCCCCATATCCCCTGCCTGAGCCCAGTTAGCCTTCTGGGGCATGAATCTTCCAACTTTTGGGTTGTGTCTCCTCTAACTGATTTTTGAAAAATAATGTCTCATCCCAACACCTGTCGTTATCTAGCATTCAGTTCACAGCTTAATTTTCATACAGTGTGGAGCATCGATTTTTGACATGTACTGTTTGTTAGTTTTGATCAAAGCAATGGCACTATTCTTTTAGTTCCGTCTAAATAATATGGGCTTTTATTTATTACGTCCCATTTTTAAAATGGCACATACCTGTAATCCCAGCATCCAGGAGGTGAAGAAGCCATGGAGATCAAGGGGCTGGGGTCAGCCAGACTACTTAGGAGCTCCAGGCTAGGCAGGGTCACATTTCAATTTAATAAACAAAGCAAGCCACCAACTACAAGAAGTAAATGTTTCTTAATCAGAATGCAATTATTTTTCCTTGAACTCTGTTTTACACAGCCCGCTGATTTTTATTTTATTTTATTTTAAAAAACAGGGTCTTTTTCTATAGCCCTAGCGGGCCTGGAACTCGATGTATAGATCAAGCTGACCTTGAACTCACAGAGATCCACCTGCCTCTGCTTACCAAGTGCTGAGATTGCAGGCTTATACCACCAGGCCCAACATGCCACTCCATTTTATCCCTCACATAATGCATGTGTTTCTTTGGACATCACCAAGTTTTATTAGAGATAGTCATGCATATTGGGAGAAAAAAAAACTTTTTTAATCATGTATTTCTTTTGATAACAGAAACAAAAAATGAAAGAACTGGACTGAGGTATGAGTGTAATTTATTAAGGTAACCTGATTACATTTGGAAATTTGAATGAAGAATGATCAAACACAAAGAGAAAAAGTATTTTTCATCTCTGCATGAGATGTGTGGGAACTCTTTGTTCTCATTAATTCATGTGTCCATGGGAAGATTTGTCTTGTTGCCAGAGAGACACAGCCTTCAGCAGACACTCGACACAGAAGGAGAGAAAGCACAGGCTGCTGGGGAACTTAGGCACCCCGAAAAGCAGAGAAGCCAGTGACAAGTGGGGGTCTTGTTCATTAGGAGAAACTGCCGATAAGGGGCAAAGGCCCTTTCAGGTGGCATTCATCAGCATGATTTGGACAGCTCACAAACATCCTGATTCTTAAACAATAACAGGTAAAGGATGTGTGGATGAGACATGAACCTGGAGTGAACTTGTATCCGTAACAAGTGACTCTGTCTTCAGCATTCATAATAATAGACTCTTCCCTCGGGCTCTAGATGGAATCAGAAGCAGATGTTATGGTTGTCGAAAATAACAATTACTTCTAACTGCGCCTGCTACAAGATATGGGAATTCAGAAATGGACTTGTTTCTTGGACTATGCATAGGGGAAACTGACATTCTAAGTCCAATATGGGGCACCATGACCAAATATTGCAGTCAGCATTCCTGCAGATCTTTAGCACTGCGAGGGATTGTACCCTGGGCAATGCAAGTTAGGATGATA